ATAGGTATTTTAAGCGTAAATGTTGAAACTACATTTTGGCTGAATTCTAAACAGAGCTTGACAGTGACCTGCATTTCAGCTTGGTGGTGGTAAACCAAATAGTCACTGATCATGGAAATGGTCTGAATAGCTCACAGCACGCTTAAAGCACTTTACACCAGAAAATGTCATTAAGAGGATTAGGTTCTTCAGAAAAAACAGCTGGAAATGGTTTATATTCATTTTGCCTGCTTTACTTTACACTGTTCATGGTCTGGCTTTACAGAGTGTTTCAAGGTAACAGTCCTATCTCTGGGCTCCACCTTGGGTTAGAAACAAAAGTTGTTTATGCTAGAATGAGCTGTAATAAGAAGAGAGTAACTGAAGATGAGGGGAAGATGGGGGATACATAACAGTGTAAATTGCGTTAATTGAATTTGTTTCTCTCAAAGTACATTTCCATCCTTTCTTACGCAGCAAAAGCTTATTTGTCACCTTTCAGAACAATTTGAAAGGAAAACTATGCAATGGGCTGTGTATAGATTTTGGATTTCTCATAAAGTGATGTCAGTGCTGTAGGAAATCCCAGACGAAAACAGTGCAAACTGCAGTGCTTAGTGTCTCATGTTATAGCACATCTGCATTTATCTGGCTTTTTTATTTTTCCTTTTATTTCTTTGAAGATGCTGTGAAGTTTTCATCATTTTGCACCTTGACTTTTTGTTGTTGTTGTTCTCCCATCAACTCATAAATAGTTAAATTTTTAGGTAGAAGAGGATAATTACCATGTTTCCACTTGAAATATTGTAAAGCCCCAAGGCCCTGTCTTGGACAAATGTATTTTTCAGGAGTTCATTGTAATTTTGGTTTTGAGTGTAGATCCAGCAAAATTAAAATACACACCCATCTGTAGAGAAGAGTGCATTTTCAGCCTTTAACAATAGCTTTATTTAGTTGGGTTTTAATTACTCGTTTGCTTTGAACATGTGAAGGGGGAAGTTTTCTTGCAGAGGGCGGCTGTCCTGAGGGTCACAGAGTGGTTTCCTGTCCTAGTTGACAAAGAGCAGCCAATTCCATGGATGATGATTATGCAAAATGGAAAAGTGCTGATAGACTGTGGACGAATACCAGCCTGAGCCTAACTGCTTTGCAAACCTTCTTTCAAAGAGCAGCTTTGACTAGCTGACCTGGTGCTGTATGCAGGTGATCTGTAGTAGCACTGTTGATAGTCACATAAGGGTGATCAGGTTGAGATGGGGAGGGAGAGGAGGGTGCTTCTTTTCATAGAGTGCAGGAGGCAGCTTTGTGGGAGTTCTGAAGTGATGGCAGTGATGGATTTTAAGTGGATGGTTGTGTATTTTCGTCTGTAATACACTTTTAAGGGTTTGGTTTTTTTTTTTTGTAATTTTCAGTAATCAAAGTAAAGTTTCAGGTGATTGATCAAATGGAGAAAGGAAAGGCCAAACATTTCAGCTTCAGGTTATAGTTGAGTAGACTTCTGCTGACATCAGAAATTATTAATTGCACCAGCTAAATTACAAAGATGTTATCTTGGTGCTGGGAGCCAAGAACACCTTAATTAGGGCTGTTAGATTCCCTGTTCTGCTTCATTGCTTTTGACTTTAACCATCAAGGCACTGGATCAAGGTAAAAGTGAACTTTTATATGGAAGACTTGGTGCTGTTTCACGAGCAACATGAAATTGAGAGACCTCAGTGTGTTAACGGATGCTGTCCTCTTGTGAAGCTGCAGTGTTCCCTCACATGCAGATACAGACCTGCAGTGGCATGTCCTACAGTATTGTATGTTAAAAGCTTTTAGTGTAAAATGGATCCTTGATAGCAGTTAACGTGTGCTTTAATTGCGTTACTTTTTAGCAGTATATGTTGCATGCTCATAAGGTTGATTGCATTGGCATCTGATTTACAGAGTTCACTGAATTCTACATGCATCTCACTTGCATTAAAACAATCTCTAGTGTTAGTTGGAAGGACAGCATCAATAATTGCTTAAGTTACCTTGCGTCTTACCTTGTCACAACAGCTGTGTGCATCAGTGTCATCGCTTGGTGTCATGATCCCTACAAGGGCTGTGTTGCTTAGCTTCTGGCAGCCAAAATGCTAGATATCTACCTTTGGACTTCAGAATAGCTAATCTGTTTTAATTTAGTAACAAATTAGTTAACTTGAAAACACAGAGCTTGAGTTGTTCATGATTTCCATCCAAACATGGAAGACTTGAAGCTGAGGATACACTTAAAGGAAAGCTGCAGCCATCACTGTATTCAGGTGCATGTTTGTACCTTTGTCTTCAGGCACATGTCGCAGTTCCGAAGGGCACTTAGGTATTTCCATAATGCCTTTGATTGCCCAGTTGAAGTCAACAGGGCTGGTTGATGCCAGTAAAACTACTTATGATTAGCATTAGCTGCATTCTTTAGATGCTGATGAACAGGGACCTCTGATAGGTTGGTGAATAGTTGTAAACATAATTCTGTACATTCAAGATAGAACTATGAGTTGCACAGATTATCATTATTGTTTGGGTTTGGCTTTGGGGGGTTTTTTGTTGTTGTTTTGGGGGTTTTGTAGGGGTTTATTTCTTGTTGGGTTTTGATTGTTTGTTTTTATTTCCCATTGCAATACCTCCATAGAAGGAAATTAAACTGTTAAACATGGAAAACATTGGCATTGCTGATATTGTTAGGATTTTATTATAGGTACAAAAGTAGAAAGTACTTAGTTGCTACACAAGCTGAGTTTTTTTAGCTATAGTTCCATAAGCTATTCTTTTATGCAGTTATTTTAATAATTTTTTTGTAACTATTGGTGCATTTACAAAATCTAAGAATTGCAATGGCTTTATGTTTGAAATAGCACCAAATATCAGTTATAGGGCCTGTTCTTAAAATCTAAAATTTATAAGTAATAGAATTTTAAAATTCTGTATTATAAGATGTAATTGCCTACTCTTAAGAAAAAAAAAAAAGGTGTTTCAAAGAAGTCTTTCAGTTCTTTTCCAAGTTTTTAGTTTTTACACACTAGGAACTGGGGGGAGAGAAGGAAAAAGGATTTTCTCTTCAGATTCCATGGATTTTTTTGTATGGTCAGCACATCTTTCATTCAGTTATGCCCCATCCCTGACGGTGTTCAAGGCCAGGTTGGACAGGTCTTGGAGCAGCCTGGGCTAGTGGAAGGTGTCCCTGCCCATGGCAGGGGTACTGAATGAGCACCCGTTACAGTCTGTGATTCTGTGCTGTGGAAGATTTTGGAAAATAGCAAATAAAACTGTTATGTCTGTCAAATCTGGCTGGCTGGTTTTCGCCTCAAGACTAGTGTCTCATTGTCAGTCCCTGTCCATCCCCATCCCTGTCGTCTGCCAGCAGAGCAGCCTGGCTGAGCACTCCCAGACTTCCTGAAGGCAAAATCAATCTGGCTTGCTGAAGCTGTTGATCTGAGCTTCCCAGCTGGCCTTGTCTGCAGTGATATGGGAGAACTGGCACAAATAACTGTGCTGGCAGATTGATGTGAACCATAACTGGGAACAAAGCAGTAGCAAAGAGCAACTTCAACCAATAACCCTTTCTTCAGGCAGTTCAGCCAGCTGTGCTGCTGGTTAAGCTGTGCTCAGGTGTCTGAAAGGCCTCACATAGATGTGGGTGAACAAAATACACCCAAGTAAGCAAAAAGCAATTAAAAAGCATGAAAGCATTGTTAAAATCCACACAGGCTGCTGGTTTGTGGTGAGACCAAAGTTCTTTCAGAGTTGCCAAAGGTTATAGTAAGGCTATATAGTAAATCAGTGGTGAAGCTATGAATAAAATTCAAGAAACCAGGCAGATAGGGGTTTCTTTACAGAATTCAATTAGATAACATGCAGTTAATTTTTAAATGCATATATTAAAATACATATATCAGCTTGTGAATGGCTTTCACTCTTAAAGTCAAAAAAATCTCACTTCAATCTCTTGATTACAAGTTTGGAAAGCAGACAGAAATGTAAAGGGGAAGACAGTCTGGAGCTCCCAAAATCTGAGGCTGTGGTGATAAATAGCTAGAGAACTGTCAGCTTACCTCTCTAGCTTTCACAAATGATCTATGAAATATGTGTTTATGAGTTCCCAGTAGTAGTTAACTATCAGTGGACTGAAATGTCTTCACAGAGCTACTTGCCAATCCCAGCTTTATTGTTCTCCAAGGTGGAGCACTTTTAAGCCAGTTTATAAGTCTTTTCCTTCAGCAGTTTAAGGGCATTTTAGGAGTGGAACATCTGGCTTGACTTTTAGGTCATTTTGTTTCTGTCTGTTCTAACACTCACATAGATGTTTTATGTTGGTGTTCTCTATGTCCTAAATTTCAGTTACATGTTTCTCACTTAACTGAAAAATGTTGACACTGTTGACACACTGGAAGGAGGTAGTCCTGAATAGTAAGCAGTTAATAGATCTCCTTGAAAAGGATGTGTTGTATAGCTCAGGAGGGTTATGTACCATCTGAACAGTTAAGCTTTCAATTACTGAAGTCTTCTGAGACCAGTGATGCTGTGATGGTAGATCCAGGTTGTTGCCCAGGTCAGTTTAACAGAAGATTGCTTCAGGATGAATTTTTTCCTTGCATTTAAGTTCCATATCTGCGTTAGGGCTTAGCAAATCAGTGCTATGCCTACCTGGAGGTGACTTGTTAGCACCACCTTGCCCTGCACAAGCACTGCAGGCATAAATTTTGAGGGTCACTTGAAAATCTGTTTACTGATGCAGACTTCCAGTTGAGTCAAGAAGAGTTGTATCATTGGTGCTCTTGGCTGAAGAGATGGTATACGTTAGGCTTTGTGGCAACGCTGTCGTTAATGAGCTGTGTGGATTTAGAGTTGGAATTGCAAATAAGGTAAGTTAGGAAAATGAGAGATTGTTTTCAGTTGGTAACTGCAAGTGGGATAAGGTTTGTAGAAATAATACTTCTCCTTTTGGATGATGCTTCTGTCTTTTAACCCTACTTTTTTACCTTTGTTGTGTTTTTCTCCAGCTGGGATGACAGCAGCTCTGTCAGCAGTGGGATCAGTGACACCATAGATAACCTCAGCACTGATGACATTAACACTAGCTCCTCTATCAGCTCCTATGCCAACACGCCTGCCTCCTCCCGCAAAAACTTAGATGCACAGGTAAGATGTCTGATTTACACAGGTAACATTGATACTTACTGTTTTTTCTGTGGAATAGGTGTAACTATTTTAAGTTGGATGGACTTGAACACACAGACTTCAGTACAGACAATAGCACTGCAAAGGCAGTGTTAAAAAATAATAACCACCTCAGCATACATGGCATTTAGGAATATTTCCTCTGTGTGTGGAGTCCATGGCATCTCTGCTGCTGTGGTGTGGCAACAGATGGCTTCTGCCTTCCCAGCAGAAATGCTGTACAGAAAATAGGCATCAGTAGATGGGATTATATTATTTTTCTTTAGCTTTGGAAAAAGTATTATGTTTTCTGTGAAAGAAGAGAATTCAGTTAAGGCAACATGAAACATGAGCAGTTAAAAATTATTTACGTTTCCCTTGGAAATGAAGGAGTGCCAGGCAAGTGAAATAGATCACTTTAAACTTCCAGGGCTGCGTGGTATCGCAGGCTTTCTATTTTTGGCAGCATTTCATAGGAGGATAAATTTTACATCCATGAGCATCTCACATGTACATTTTGTGCTCAGACACCAGACGTCCAGTGAAGGTAAAACAAGTGAAGGTATCCAGTGACAAGATTGCAGAATGCAGAGATTTGCAGTAATAGAAGCTGCTTTTTTTTCTCTCAATTATATGGAATTTTGTTGGGAAAAATATAGCTCTGTGTTGTCCAGCTTTGTTCTTTGTAAGCCCACCTGATCAAGGTTTTGTGTGTCAGAGCAACCGGGATGCCGTGATTTGGCATTGCAGCAGGTAGAGAAGAAGGATGTAGGTATGACCTTCTCTGTTACTTTCCTCTCTTTTTCATGACTGGAGCCTAAATCTGATTTTAGTTTTAATGTAGACGTGCGGTTGCTGTGGAGTGTTACTCTTCCTCCAGGACTGTGGTGCAAGCACGTATTAGTCTTTGTTCCCCTGCCACAAGGTGCATGTTTGAGCCTACATTAAATGTTTCCAGTTAGCCTCTGGTTGTGTGTCAGCGATTGCATGTACACTCAAAACTGCTGCTACAAGTCCCATGCAAGTTGAGAGGAGTTAAGATCTATCACGTGTGTTTTCAGTATGTAACAGAGAGTAGCATAGACAACTAGAAGTATTTTTTGACAGTTGTTACCATCTTAACATCATAATACTATTGGGGAAAAAAGGACAAAAAAGGGAAATATGACTTAACATTAACCTAAGGAAAAAAATAGAAACTCATTTGACTTTTATCTTCTGGTGGATCGGATTCTTGGAAACGGCTCTGAGAGATCAAAATCTGTGTTGACAAACTCCTCTTCCTCCTCCACATATATTACAGCACCCAAGAGAGCGCAGACATGCACAAGAAGAAAAGCACCTGAAACTTGTACAGATGGTAGAGCGTAGTCATTAGGAGAGGAAGCTGGGAGCTAAAGCATACAAGTTGTTTGCTTTAGCAGGTTATTCATGTGTGTCTGTGAGCTGCTTCAGTTTTTGTTGCTGACAGTATTTATTCTAGGTATTAATTTATTCTAGGTATTAATATTGTCTGCAAATTATTGTCCATAAAATACTTTGTTTTCATTTGAACAGAATATCCTAATCTTGTAAACCAAGGGAATGAAAATAGCTTGGAGTGATGGAACCTTTCATAGCTTATAGGATTGATTTTATGCTGCCCGAAGTAGATCTCGTGACACAGTGAATGCTGTATATATGCCTTTTGTGTCTTACCTGGATACTATATAATGGCCCTTTGCCCAGGTTTACGTTCCCCTGGGTGGTGAGCCACAAAGGGTTGACAGACATCTCCAGAGGGGTGTGGACTTTTCTGCTCAGGCTATTGACTGCTTTGGTTCTCCTAAATAGTAGGCACTTTCAAGCTGCTGTGATTCTAGCACATCTTTTTCAGATGATTTCAGAAAATTAAAGAGGGAGCTTGAAGCTAATACACGTTCAACTGGGAGTCCAGACAAATAACACAGCACCATCAAAGGGAGAGAGCCCTGACATGTCAGTGTCTGCTGATAAAATCAGAAACTTGTGCAGAATCATCTCTGCAGAGGAAGAATGCGTGGTTGTAGTAGGGAAAAAGTCTCTGCTAAGGAAGTGATTTTCAGGGCTGCTGAGTAGCTTATACTCGAGAAGCTGTAGTTTCTCAATCTTTGAGAAGCAGGGCTTTCATATGATACTAATTCCATGTTTGTAGACATTCATAGTTGTAGCCCTTTTTTGTAGCAGTGCTGTGAAGATGTTCACAAGTTGGTTCTGAACAAACTAGTCATAAGAACCAGGATTTGCCTTACTATGTTCCCTTGTCTTGCTCTGATTATGTCAAGTACCAAAGCACTTAATGCAAATGTATGACATTTGGGGCCCTAACATTTTTCTCTTACAGTGTACATAGGTAAGTTACCTTTTACACGGTACTGCATGTGGTATGCCTTTAAAGTCGCATCATACATACATTTTAATAAGAAACTAAGACATTGTGGGTGTTTGAAAATAACTTACATCACTGAAATAAGATACAAATGAGGAACAGATCAAGTACATGAATGAGTTTATTAATGTTAAAAAGATCCAAAGATGGAAACAATTCCTTCGAATTGAAAGCAGCAGCATCTTTAAGCTGTTAGATCAAGACAGCTTGTCAGTTCTGTTGGAGCACAGATGGTTTTGGTCTGTTCACAGCTTCATAATTGGATTTACAGAACTGTAGGGAGAAGCTGAGAAATCCTGGTGGTTACCACTGCTCCTAGCTGAGTCTGATGCAGGCTTTGCTCCCAGTTCATGCTTGCTCTGTCTTGCCATGACTTCCAGCAAATAATATACCCACTTTTGGCCTTTCAGGAGGTGTAGTTTCAGCTGCAGTCCCCATGCCAGGTTTAGCTGTGTTTTGGTTTTGATCACGTGTCTGTGCTGCTCAGTGTTTACCGTGAAACAGAAACATCTCTGGCCAGAGGGCTTCAAGGGTAGATGTGCAGTGTTTCAAAGGCTACAGAAAAACTTTGGCTGTGGGTATAGTAGTGGAATGAAGTGGAAGCGAGCAAAGATAGAGGACTTCGTGTAATGCTGCTCTCTCTGTTGAGACTGTACTATTCTTACAGGCTCAGAGGTGGGTAAATAAGAAGGTATGGGAATATTTCACTCAACCAAAACTAGAGTTGCTCTGTAATTAGCAAGTAGGTGTATTTCTTGCTCTTGAAAACTAACAGTGTACTCAATTCCAGACAAGGTACTTGAAGCAATATACTAATGAGAGTATGTGAGGGATGATGATGAGGTGGTTTTGTTGGTCAGTTACTTGTTTGTTCTTGCTTATACTCTCTTGGACCTACAAGAAATCTGGAGAAGGACTTTGTAAAAAGGAATGTAGTGACAAAGGGGAGTGGCTTTAACCTGACAGAGGGGAGATTGAGATGAGATTTTAGGCAGAAGTTCTTCCCTGTGAGGGTGCTGAGGCGCTGGCACAGGTTGCCCAGAGAAGCTGTGGCTGCCCCATCCCTGGCAGTGTTCAAGGCCAGGCTGGACGGGGCTTGGAACAACCTGGTCTAGTGGAAGGTGTCCCTTCCGGTGGCATGAGATTGGAACTGAATGAGCTTTAAGGTCCCTTCCAACCCAAACCAGTCTGGGATTGTATGATACATAAATCTAGGAGACGTTTGAATGAAATTATGATTTTAGAGGAAGACAGGACATCAGAAGAGTCACACTGTGAATTTATTGCACACCTACCAATGGTCATAACTAGAAAGATAATCATCCCCACACTTTGCAGCCGTAAAGAAAAGGAAGAAGTTAGAAAGCAGTGTTTTAATCAAGCTGTTCTGTGTTGCTGTCTCTGAACGGAGAGGCAGGGGAACAACATTTGCATAGCACAAGGAAAGCACAAGAAAATAGTATCTAAATCCATAAATCAGCAAATGGTCGTTAGTGTAATGACTCAATATGCAGACTAATAACCCAGGCCCTCACTATTTCACATGAATAAAGAAAGACCATTGTGATGTGTGGTGTCAGCTTTCACATACTGATTGCTTAACTAGTTTTTCAGGCTTTAAAAAAAGATAATTACAGTAAAAAGCAGAGGAAATTAAGCCACAATTCGCCTAGGTTCTTTCATGTTAATGGTGTCATCTGGTAGGAAGAGTCATAAGCTTGAAACTCTTAAACTTTAGGAACTTAAAGAATAAAATAGATAGGTTTTTTTAAAGCATGGTAAATGATCACACATCCTTTCCTGTGTTTTTCTGATTATCCAAAAGGACTAAAAGGTTGTGAGCTTTATAATGCTTTGGGGTATTTAAAATAATATCCTTATAAGTGATGCTACCATTTAACTACTGTATATTCATCTTCTGCCTAGGCTGTAGGGAAGAGATGACCCTCCAGCATCTTTCCAGAATTTATTGCCTCTTACTTGGGAACTTCATGATCAAGTGTTGAATTGTCAGTCTTTCATGGTACTGCGATGTTTGGAGGGCACTTCACCTGTCTTTTGAGGGCCAGGGTGGTTGTGTGGATGATGGTCAGATGTGAGAATATTTATCATTTGTGCCTGATCGCAAAATAGTTATGGTACTACAAAATTTGCCGTATTAATCAGCATCATTTGGCAGGAGAAGTAGAATTCTGCAGGAATAATCGTTAGCAATAGAAAATTATAATGTATTGGGAATACATTACAAATAATTATATAGGCCAATAGATTTAAGCATTTCTGAGAACTAGGCAAAGGCTTGCTAAAGAAAAAATTCTGTATTTGACATTGAGCTTTGCAAAATTCTCCGTAAAGGATCAGTAGTGCATTCTGCGCAAAATAGGGTAAACAGTGTTTAAGAGCTGAACGTGAATTAAAAACTATGGTAAAATACATATTTAAGTCACTCTTGAATGTTGCTAGAAAGTTGTTGGGGATTCATTTTTCTTCAGCTTCTGGGTGTCCTTCTACTACATTAGATTAGAATGAACAGCATTCCATATCTTTAAATCTGTTTAAAAAGATGGCTCCTCATACTCTGGAGATCAATTGCTAGACAAGAGATAGGAAAGCAGCAAGAACAAAGGGGAGCTGGCTGCACAGGTTTGAAAGGATTTTTTGGCATTGCGGTAGAAGGGTTAGTCAGAAATTTGAGATGGAGGATTATAAATGTCATAGAGCTGAATATGTCCTTTATAAATCAAGTGGATTTTTTCTTTTTTTTTTTTGTCTTTATTTATTCTAAGGGGCATGGCTGTTACAGGGTTTTTGTATTATTTTTTTCCCTAGCATATTAAAAAGATATGTCATTTCTTTGTGTAACATTTCTGTATCAAAGGTATGTTATGTTTGTTGGTACTTAGAAATGACTACTGAGTTGATGAATCATTTGGTGGTTCTCATTTATGAAGCTTCTTAAAAGAAGGGCTTGCTCTGAAGGTTGTATTTGCAATTCCTTATCTGTCCTAGACTGATGCAGAAAAGCATTCCCAGGTTGAGCGGAATTCCTTATGGTCCAGTGATGAAGTCAAGAAATCAGACGGAGGATCTGATAGCGGCATAAAAATGGAGCCAGGATCTAAATGGAGGCGGAATCCCTCTGATGTGTCAGATGAATCTGATAAAAGTACTTCTGGTAGGAAGAACACTGTTATTTCACAGACGGGCTCCTGGCGACGGGGCATGTCAGCTCAAGTTGGCATTACCACACCAAGGACTAAACCTTCAACCACCTCAGGCACATTAAAGACACCTGGAACAGGTGAGAAAAGGTGTAAGATAGAAACAAGCCAAAAAGTATGTTCAGTATGAAAACAGTTTAAATACTTTCCAGAGGCAGAACCTGAACTTCAGGTAGTGCTGTCATTATTTTTAGTTATTGTTTTAACCTCTGCAGCATCTTTTATGTCCACATTTCTATTTCTGTTCATTTGAAAATGCATATTTTGGAATACACCATGGAAGTTGTTTTCATGACAACTCTAGTCTTAAGCTGAGCTGTTTATTGGGCACAGTACTGCCATATGCACAATAGATAGTATAATTTCAGCTTTTGAAGTCAAGGTTAACTGTAAGAACATGTAGTATGTGTGGTTAAGGAGATTTTGTTTTTCCCTTTACTAAACCAGCATGTTAATTTATACTAAACACTGTTTAGTTCTGGCCTTTCTTAGAAATGTACAGTGATTTTAGCTTTTGCAGATGTGTGAATGGAAATTGATTGAATTTTCATAATCAAGTAATATAAGTTAATACCTCTCCTCATTTGGTCATGTACACAATTGTATATGAAAAAGTTAAAGTTAGATAATTCCTTGAACAATGCCTTGTAGGAAGATTGTACTAATGGCCTAACACTGCTTCTTTCTAATGATTAAAGAGGATTCCTCTATAGTAGCTACAGAGGGAAACATTTTTTCTTGTCAGTATGACATAACACTGTTCTGCTTTTCATATTCTTGGGGGCAAACACACCACATACTGTCTTCTGGCAAGTCTGCATGTGTAACTCTAACTAGAGTGGCATCTAAGTTCAGTGCAGACTAGATCATGATTTCTATCCACACTTGGTGGCTAGCACGCTTTTGCTTTTCATGCTGCTTTGAGTTTCATCATTTGCTTGATGTTTTTCAAGTCATTAAATATTAGAATTCTTTTTCTATTTTTGTAGGGAAAACTGATGACGCCAAGGTATCAGAAAAGGGTAGACTATCTCCTAAAGCTGGACATGTTAAGCGTTCCCCATCAGATGCAGGACGCAGCAGTGGTGATGAATCCAAAAAGCTTCCCACAAGTAACACTAGAGCAACTGCTGCTAATGCTAATACATTTGGATTTAAGAAACAGAGCGGGTCAGCCTTAGGCATGACTATAATCACTGCCAGTGGGGCAACAATCACCAGTAGATCAGCTACCCTGGGAAAAATCCCAAAGTCATCTGGACTCATGGGTAGGACCACTGGTCGGAAGACTAGTGTGGATGGCTCCCAGAACCAGGATGATGGCTACTTAGCACTTAGTGCCCGAACTAATCTTCAGTATCGTAGTTTACCCCGGCCCAGTAAATCCAATAGCAGAAGTGGAGCTGGGAATAGATCTAGCACAAGTAGCATAGACTCCAACATAAGCAGCAAGTCAGCCGGGTTGCCTGTCCCAAAAATGAGAGAGCCTGCCAAGGTAATCCTTGGAAACTCTCTGCCAGGATTAGTCAATCAGACTGATAAAGAGAAAGGGATTTCGTCTGACAACGAAAGCGTGGCCTCATGTAATTCTGTTAAAGTGAATCCTGCATCACAGACTGCTTCTAGTGGAGCTCAAAGTACTCACCAGCAAGGAGCCAAGTACCCTGATGTGGCCTCTCCCACTTTGCGCAGGTAGGCACTGAATCTGTTGATCGTGCAATGATGTTAGTCCAAGCTGAATGAGCAGGACTCTCCGAGCCAGGCCTGGCTGTGTTGTGTGAAGCACTTACTATTTAGTGTCCTGCATCAAAGTCTTTGTATTTCCACTGAATTTCACATAAACAGGTCGGCCAGTGTTGTAAATACTCAGTGCATCACACAACATCAGCAAAAATTGAATATCTGGGGAGTAAAAAATTGGCGATTGTGATTATGAGTGTGTTGCAAAAATCTGACGTGAAGGCTTCATCCATGCTGAAGGAATAAGAGTTTTCTTACGTGAAGGTGACGGAAGAGTTCTTGCACCAATGTATATGTAAAAAACCTGGAAGTACTCCAATGGTGGATCAAATTATAACTTGACAGCAGGAGAGTGTTTCAGATTTCCATCATGAGAACAGCATAAATTGACCTCCTATACTTAGATTCACGTGCCTGTACCAAACCAATCTTTCAGCTGTGTGCATTAGGCCAGTGTTTTGTGGGACTCAACATCAGGTTATTCACCTGCGTACAAGAACCCTAAGAAAAGTTACTGCCTAAGTTGCATTAAATTTTCTTATATATTTTTAAACAAAAATCTTCTCTGTAGTCTGTTTCTCCACAGCTACCCCACGCGTTATCTTAACATTAACACTGCATTGGTCAGGAATTGATTTGTTGATGCAGTGTGCTTCAAAGCCTTGATACTGGTGAAAGGTTCCATTAATATTATTTTTCAGTGGAATTTGACATTAGGGAGCTTGTCTGTTTCAAGTTGCAGTGTTTTGCATTTCATTTTGTCTTGACGCCCATAATACCCATACAGTTATGCTACATCATCCTGCTTCCAGTGATGTGAGAAAGCGCCATTCCATCTGAAGCACCAATGCAAGCATAATGGCTGGGATGGCAGCTTAGGCTAATGCTGTGAAGAGTTGTAAACTGCTTCTTTTTAGATGGCTGGTTTTATTTAAAGAGCCTATGTGAGGGTAATTCAAGATACTTTATATCTGGTTATCATTAGATAAGCCATGTCCTTTAGAACAGTTAATTTCCATTAATGTCTACTTCAAGAAAAAAACTCCAACAGACATTTAATTTCTATAGTACACCCCATGAAACATGCAGATTTTCAGTGTTGCAAGCCTCCGGCACATTAATCTTGACATTTGATTGGAAATTAATTTATTTGTTACTAGAAAGCCACATTGCTAGCTATGTAATTGAAATGCTAAATTAGAATCATAGAATCAACTAGGTTGGAAAAGACCTTTAAGATCATGAAGTCCAAGTTAGAAATACATGAAACTTCAAAGAGAAGACACTGAGGCTCAATTTAACTATTCCCTTCTTTGATTTACAATTTTCACTGTTGGATTGTCACCAGACTGTCTATAAATTGTCACATACCAAAATGCATTAAAGTTGAATTGGGCCTCTCTGCTTTCTAGAATGGGAATACAGGTTTCAAGCTTAATTTTCAGAGTCAGTTGAGATGGGTTGCGAATGTTTTTCGCATATTTCCTCTTGTCCCTGTGAGTTTTTGATTATTATCCAGTAAATTGGAGACCTTACCTTTGTAATAATACAGAGTTACCTGTAAGTCTGTAAATGTGTGTAACTTTTACACTGTCGCAAACAGTGAAATTCTGTAATTCTGCCATGGGGGCCTGTCTGTTCTCTCAGTATTCCCTTTAGCTCCAGTATTATGTATCAGGCATGTCCCTTAAGTAAAAGCATAACTTATACTGATGTATTTTATTATTAAATTAGCCTTTAATGATTTGCAGTATGTAATACGCTGCTTTTCTGTGTACGGGAGACATTCATGACCCAATAGCCAGCTCAGATATATCGATGTCAGTAATAGATAGGAGTAAACAGACATCCTTCTTTGTAGAGTATATCCTGCCAGAGTTAATCTCTGTGTTAATGTGACTGTCTTGCTGACTTGGATTTTCTCTGGACTCAAAGGAATGCTCTCCAGACCACATCTGAATGTGTTTTGTTGCGAGGTTGCAGTTCAACCAGACACTGGCTGCAGCAGTAATATGTTTCTTCACAGTACAGCCATCCTTTCAGTTGTATTAGAGGGGCCATGAAGCAGTTTGAGGTTGTGAAGCTGCATAGCTTAAAAGCAGCTTGTAAAACTGTTTTGTGGTTGGGGTCTTTATAAGCTCCAAGATTATATCTCATAAGAGTACAGTGCCCCCAGTCCAATGGCGCAGGAGCAGGAATACCCTAAACTGGTATTGCCGCTGAAGGCCGTGGTTAGACATCTTCCTTATACTCTAATAAGATTAAATAAAACCTAGACTCAAAATGTCTCTAAATCACTGTAGGAATGGGTTTTATCATTCAGACTGACTTGTCTAAGTCAGTGTTTTCTAATCAGTGAGGCATGGTGTCATGTCCAGGTGAACCACAAATCTCTTTTTGAGAGATCCTATGCTGATAGGATCATAGAATCACAGAATGGTTAGGGTTGCAAAGGACCTTAAGATCATCTAGTTCCAACCCCCCTGCTATGGGCAGGGGCACCTCGCACTAAGCCGTGTCACCCAAGGCTCTGTCCAACCTGGCCTTGAACAACACCACCAAGTATGGAGCATTCACAACCTCCCTGGTCAACCCATTCCAGTGCTTCACCACCCTTTAAGAACTTCCTCCTTATATCCAATCTGAACTTCCCCTGTTTAAGTTTTAACTCATCACACCTTGTCTTACCACTACAGTCCCTAATGAAGAGTCCCTCCCCAGTATCTTTATAGGCCCCCTTCTGATACTGGAAGGCTGCTATGAGGTCTCCACACAGCCTTCTCTTCTCCAGGCTGAACAGCCCCAACTTTCTCAGCCTGTCTTCATACAGGAGGTGCTCCAGTCCCCTGATCATCCTCGTGGCCCTCCTCTGGACTTGTTCCAACAGTTCCATGTCCTTTTTATGTGAGGACACCAGAACTGCACACAATACTCTAGGTGAGGTCTCGCAAGAGCAGAGTAAAGGGGCAGGATCACCTCCTTCGACCTGCTGGTAACGCTCCTTTTGATGATGGCACAGAGCAATGCTGGATGATGAGATAGGTGTAGATGTACATCTTATCCTGATCCAGCAATGTTGTGCAGGTGCGTTGTGGCAAGCATGCAGCAGCAGCCATCCACTTCAGATGCATTCCATGTATCTTGCACAGGTACTTTGGAGCTGCAGGTAGCACCTGTGCAGTAAGTACAGTGCTTGTGGGCATCACTGGGCTTACTGTACGTGTGTGCAGGGTGCCCAGCTATGTTACAGGCCTTGTGTTTCTGAGAAGTGTTGGACAAAGTGCCTTAGTGTGCATGTGTTGTGCATACAACCTGGAAATACTAAAAAGCATAGAAAAGTCTGCTTGGTGCTTACCCACCTGTAAATCTGCAGGGGCTCTTGTATAGAAGTGCTGTAGTCCTCTCTTCTGAGGACTACAGTCTGATAGATACCCCTTTGGAAGATTTCATCCCCAGTACTCCACACTGTTGATAACAAAGAAGCAAATCCATATAGATATGTGTGAGGAAAACTAAGGTTGCAAAGGCAGTTACTGGAGCCAAGTGGTAGAAACAGAAGCAGTGTTTTGGGGTGGGATGTTTGCAGCTAGAGTCAACAGATAATGCTTCCTTTATAATTTTGAGGATCAGTCCTGGAATGATTGATAATCTGGTCTGAAGCATGTTTGCTTCTAAGAAAGACAGTTTTGCACTGTTGAGAACTTTCCTGTTGCCTGTTAATGAGGGAACTGAAATACTTTCTTCATTGGCAGTGCAGCTGCATCACAGGCAACAGTGATGCAAACTGGGCATGCTGCAGTCATCCTTCTCCAGCCATGCTTTTGCATTCCCTTCCTTGCACTAGTTCTGGGACTCAGCTAATCTTTTACTGAGCCAATCCCAGGTGCCAAAGCAGGTAAAATCTCATTCTGCACTCAGAAATTAATAGTTTCCAGCCATCTTGGCTCCTGAAATGATACAAACCTACATTTGATACCAGTACATAGTTTTCATGTTACATCGCAACAAGTGCTGCTTCTGTACAGAGCATTTGGTGATTTGCACAGAATTTACCTGGACAGGCTTTCAACTTCTGTGGTAATTCCATGCTTCAGATTAATCAGTGCAGTGTTCCTCTAGTATCCTTTTTCCTTAAAGGAGCAGAAGATGATCTGGCTTTATTTTAGTTCTATTGAAGCTGTACTTTAGCTTTGTGAAAGTAGTATTTCCAAGATTCAGAGTAGACACACCTAAGATAGATTTGAAGCTCTCGTAATTGTCTCTGGGCTTTATTGGAGGTGAAGTGAAAACGAGAGGATTCATAAATTTATAGTTGCATATGTCCAATCTAGAATCATTTACTTAATCTTGTTTTTGTGCAGCTAAGAAGTTATATGGTCTAGATATAAAATACTCTTGCATTTCATACTCCATTTTATGTATTTTTTCATGTTGTCTTTTGTACAGACTTTTTGGTGGCAAGCCTAATAAACAAGTTCCCATCACAACAGCTGAAAATATGAAAAACTCAGTAGTCATCTCCAATCCTCACGCTACTATGAACCAGCAGGGAAATCTGGATTCGCCATCTGGCAGTGGTATGCTGAGCAGTGGGGGCAGCAGTCCCCTGTATAGTAAAAACACAGATCTGAACCAGTCTCCATTAGCTTCAAGTCCCAGTTCAGCACATTCAGCTCCTTCCAACAGTTTAACATGGGGTACCAACGCAAGTAGCTCTTCTGCTGTTAGCAAGGATGGCATTGGATATCAGTCTGTCAGCAGTCTTCATACCAGCTGTGAATCCATTGATATCTCTCTAAGCAGTGGAGGTGGGCTGAGCCATAACTCCTCCAGTGGCTTGATTCCAGCCTCTAAAGATGATTCTCTGACTCCCTTTGTCCGAACCAACAGTGTTAAGACCACATTGTCCGAAAGGTTAGTGGGTTTTTCTCTCATTTCCGTATGTTTGGTTGTATCTCAAATGTGAATTAAGACCTGGCAGCAGTAGCCAATGGTGCAGATAGAAATCAGGTTGTGCTTCTCAAAAGCTGATACTGAATAGTATTATTAGAACATACAAAGAAGTCATTCCAGGCAAGGAGCCCAGTTCAGAGCAAGAGGATGGGTTCAGGTGAGGTTTTCATTTGCTGTGGTAGCCAACGTGACAGGTTTTCTTTCTATCCAATATTTGAATTTTGCGTCCTCTGTTACCCTTAAAAAGGCCTTCTGTTAGTGATATTCAAAAAAAACCCATTATTATTTTGATTTGAGAAGCCAGCTGTTTTATTTTAAACTTCTTGTTTATAACATTTGATAGGCTTTTAAGCTGGAAGTCGTGCTGAAGAGATACCCCTGTTTCCTTAGTCACTTGATCCCTTCTCAGCCTCTCACTGCTGCTGTGTCCTTTCTCCAGTTGTTCCTGCAATGTTTCGGTACAGGCAGTCATGTGAATGCTTAGTGAACCTGACTTGGAGATGGATCCAACTAAAAAATGGTCACCTGAACTGTGTTTCAGACTGATCAGTTCCCCAGCTCCTTACACAATGAAATTTATCAGTATCTGTGTGGACACACAGAGCAGGACCTGGGAGCAGACTGAGCAGGGAGGAGGGAATGGGACCACTTTTTCAACATCAGAGCTGTATTAACATGGAGCTAACATTGGTATAAACCAGAAAATGACTTGCAGTGCATGGTCTTTGAGACATGTTTTGTAAAAGGCAGTAGTACCCTTGCAAGCATTGCAAGTCAGCCCTATCCTGATGTGTCATTACACAGTCAGGTAGAAACATTTCCGTAGTTGCATGTCAGTGGAAAAAATTACCGCTGAATGTAACGTTCTTGAGAGTTTGGGTTTCCGTTTGTGCTTTATTGTAACTCCTTTCTGTTCTCTTTTCATTCTAATATTCCTTCTCTTGTTTTCTATCTTGTTGGACTGGTTCTTCTAGCCCTCTTTCTTCCCCTGCTGCTAGCCCCAAATTCTGCCGAAATACTTTGCCCAGGAGACAGGACAGGTAATGCTGTCTCAGGACAGGAGTATGCACAAGGCTGTAGGTTTTGTTGCCCATCTCAGTGAAGCAAATTGTTTTGTGACAGACTGCTCACTTGAGTCCTCTGCTGTGTTCATCGTTCAGGTGTGAGCTGACACAAAGACATGCCAGTGAGAGTCCCCTCAAACACGTCATGTATCTGCCTAAATCAGTCTGGAGAATGGCAGAGTTGGCCTGGGTTTGGTGTTACTTTGTTACTGGGAACATCTTTTGATTTAAGGGGAAGGGGTATTTTTTTTCCTCCCCCTCAGTTCTTTTCCAAAGGCAATTTGAAAATATTGTGCTTTTTCTTTCTACCAGTCTAAACTCTCACTAGCATTTCAGCATCCCTCTGGCATGCTGCTTTTCCCACTGCCTTTCAGGCCTGTCGTTTTTGTCGTGTAGTCCCCATGTCATTCTGTGTTGTCAGTTTTCTATTGCAGTTTGGCTCATGAGTGTTCCACAGAGATTTGGGTGCACCCATCCTTCTAAAGATGAATGCTAAAATTAGGAAAAGACCCAAATCCGAGCAGTCTAGCTCACTTCTACTCACTGCTATGATTTTAATTAGTCCCATGCTGTAATTTAGCTGTAAGGATTGTCATGAAATGAATTCATTTAAGAACATGGATATTTTCTTAAGAAAACAAATTAACAGATTCTGCTTAGTTACAATTTCACCAGTTGTGAAGACATAAATATGTGAGGCTTGGGTGACTGATAGAGTCAGTTTGCTGTGTTAATGGAATTTAAGCTGAGATTTGGAAATTGAAACAGTCTGGGCTCAACACTTTTACTGCTATACATTGCAGCTGCATAAAATTAATTAGCTGCATTCCCTAAACAGTGTCTGCTGAAAGAAATGACAGGAAGGTGGTTTTTGGACTTGAAGATGCTCATCAGTTTTCACAAATAGTCTACCTCATGTCTGCTGAAAAGCACAGTTTTAAGCTTGACATTTAAAGAACCATTTTTGTTTGTTGTGGGTAGAAGCAATGGCAAGATCACGTTGTGAACAGATGAGATTCATTGGCATGGTACCAGATGCATGTTTGTGCAGATCCACACCTGTCCAAGGAGGTTTTTGCATGTTTCTGTAGGAAGGCCCCAGCACCTTTTCCTCTGAAAAGGTGATGCAGATATTTGTACATCCTTCATTCTGGTCTGATGCCTTCCCATTTGTTCTTCTCTGAAGTTCTTTTCTTTTAACTTTTCTGCAGCGACCCACATCTTGATAGGAACACTTTGCCTAAGAAGGGACTCAGGTATTCATGTTTCCACACAGCTTTTGTTGTGGCTTTGGAGTTTGCTTTGTGTTTCTGTTGTGGATGGTGGTGGTGGTGGTCACAGTTTGCAAGAGGTGGCAACAATATTATTTCTTTTTCTTTTATTCTTTCTTTAATCCTCAAGGCACTGACTGCTGTGTCAATTTTTTTTAAGTCAAGTGCTTTCTCTGCTTAAGCAAGAACTGTGGCTTTTGCTTGCTGAAAAGCATCTCATAAACCATCACTTGGCATGACTTGAAAACAATAATTTTGCAGCTTTTGTGGCTATTACAAGGAATGGCTTGAGATAATTTTCTACCTGGAACCCTTGATGTTGATATACAAATAGGAAAGATTTTCCATATCCTGCCAAACCTTTTAGGATGAGATTGGACATAGTAATTAAAAAAAAAAAAAAATTTGCTTCAGAATACCTAGAGATAGAGGACTCTTAGGGATAACTTCTACTCCTTTAGAAAAGAAAACAAAATCCCCAGACAAACTTCTGGCAGTTGTCTCCTCATACATTTTGTATCTCTCTGTAAGGTTTTCTAACATGAAAAAACCACACCGAAAAAAAGATTTTTCTATTGATCTAAGCAATTCTAGCAAGATAATCAACATCAGGTGTAGTAATTAAATGCTTTAAGTATTGCAAAATTCACTGAAGCTATCTTAGACAATATGGAAAAGTACAGCCTCCAAATTGCTTAATGCAGCTTCTGGGATTACTGGGTTGATACGTTGAAATTGAAGCTGTAATTTATTCTGTGCCTTATACAATGTTCTTCGGCCCGTGAAGCCAAGTGCTAAAAGCTGTTCTTAAAATGGCATTTGGTTTAAAATGTTTCTGTTGTTCTCATGTATGTCTCTAATAAGTAAGGACTCTCTTTTAATACCCAAACATTTGAGTGCTGAACAGGTAGGTATTAGTGCTGAAAAGCAGAATGCCTTAATGTGTTAAACTGGCTTTTTAAAAGCTCCTTTTTTTATAAACTGATGTACGTGTGAAGTTGAAGAGATGCAGATAGTCAAGGACTGTTGCTTAAGTGTTGAGGCATAAGCAGCAGAATGAATAAAAGCATTTTTTGAAAGTGGTTTTGAGTTTTTGCAGTGTTACTTATTGTAGTGTTCACATGGATTTAAGACAGTCTTCGTAAGTGGTATCTTACTGTATACAGTAGTTGGAGGGAAGCTGATTGATTAAATAGATAATATCAACTAATAATAGGCTTCAAGTGTTTTTGGAAGGAGAGCTAGAAACTCATAAATATTTCTCAAAAGCGGATGGCAGAGCATAAGACAGGCACTGAAATCCATTAGCAAATGAGTGTTTCCATGAAGCTCTTTCTGTTGATACCTGCATCCTATCACGTATTTCACATAACACGTGTGGTAGCATCCCTATTTTTCAGGCATAAGCAGAAGCAGATTTAAAACTTTGCTTAAGCCAAAAACAGTGGGTGTTTTGCCATTGATGTTGGCATAGACAATGTTTCTGCTTTTTTCTTTGCCTTCAGAAAAGGCTAAACATTGTCTCCTCTATGATGATTTAATGCTATTAGTTTTGAACTCAACAGGCTACATCTCCACAGGCCATTGTATTTCATGTCTCTGGAATACGAATGATTGTGTCACAGCTTGCTGAAAATCTGATAATGGCTTTGTTGACTTGAATTTGGGTACATGATAAAAAGCCAGATAAGCTTAGTGATGTACCAGGAGACTAAACTACTGATAGAATTTTAGTATAGCTTTAGGGAAATGAAAGGATTTCCATATTATAGCTTTATTTTTAAATCGTACTATGGAACATACCCTATTTTTTACTCTACAGTGCCACAGTGCACAAGTACTGTCTGTAGCTTTTTGTTCACTACTAGTTCGGCTACTTCCGAAGCCATAGAAATGGAGTTTGTGGGGTTTTTCTTTTCCCTAAAGAGAGGGGGAATGAATTAGGAACAGCTTAAAAACAGCTTGGAGCAGCACCTTAATTTAGAGTTACATTGGGTTTATATCATTTTAATCCTTAAATTTTATGTGAGCATTCTTCCACCATCTTTCTTTCCCTCTCTCCTTCCCAGGTCTTGTGACATTTCATGTTAGGGTTTTCTTTTACTTTAAATAAATAAATGTCAGCCATTCTTAAATAACTGTTTTTGCAGGTATGCTCCGTCCTCCCAGCTCCGTAATCAAGACGATGCTAAAGAATGGCTACGCTCCCATTCAGCGGGAGGACTTCAGGATACTGCTGGCAATTCCCCTTTTTCATCTGGATCCAGCGTAACATCACCCTCTGGAACTAGATTTAACTTCTCACAGCTCGGTAAATACTTATCCGTTTGAATAATCATAGCAATACCTCATGTGTCTTGAAAAAAGCATATTACACAATATAATTTTCTTCTAGAGGCTCTGAGTCCCACATTCAAACTCAGGACGCGTTCATTGAAATGCGTGACTAATTAGCATTATTATCTCATTTTCTGAAGGCTCAGAGGGACCTTATTGCTCTCTACAACTACCTGAAAGGAAGGTGGAGCCAGGAAGTGGCTGCTCTCTTCTCTCAACTAACAAGTGATTGAACAAGAGGAAACAGCCTCAAGCTGCACCAGGGGAGGTTTAGACTGGATATTAGGAACAGTTTCTTCCCGGAGAGGGTGTTCAAGCATTGGAACAGGCTGCCCAGGGCAGTGGTGGAGTTTCCATCCCTGGAAGTGTTCACAAACTGTGTAGATGAGGCCCTTAGTGACATGGTTTAGTGGTGGCCTTGGCAGTGCTGGAGCAGTGGTTGAACTTGATGATCTTAGAGATCTTTTCCAACCTAGCTGATTCTGTGATTCAACAATTCTGTATGCCCAAAGGTGGCATATTTGGAGTAACTCTTTGAAAATACTTCCCTGGGGATAATCAGGTGTCTTAATATAATTGTGAGCTGTTTGGTGGAGCTGTTAGTGAATATCACACATTGGGGTGTTTAAAGGACTTAAGGTGTTGCTTACCCTGTTTATTAATATTACTTACTATATGTGCCAGTCTCATCAATTTGAGATATTTTATCTTGGTATGTATTTTACAGGTAGCTTCTTTGACAATTGTGTAAAAGTTCAGTCTGACATATTATGTAATAATTGCATTTCATAGAATCATAGAATGGTTTGGGTTGGAAGGGACCTTAAAGATAATCGAGTTCCAGCCCTCCTACTCAGAAGAATTTTAATTCAGAAAAAAGTACCATTCTTTCACTTTACTGCATTGATAAAAGAAAACCCTTTTTAAATGAAGGAAACAATAAAAGTTGATTGACAGGATCCATAAAGCATTGCAGATTTTAGTTGACTATATCAAAAGGTGAAATAACCTCATCTAAAGCTCTGGTAGTGCTCATCTCTGGTGCACTGATTAAATATCACTTAGTTGCCTTTGCAATTTGGTTAGGTATATAAATCAACCCTAACAGTAAATATATTGTCTTTAAGTTAAATGCCATTTGGAAAGTACTACACTGAACAGATGTTTTCTGTTTCTTTCTGATTTTCAGAAGCCACTCCATCTTTTCCAGAACGATAAATAATATGTGACTAGTTAAGAACTTCATAGGTATAGGCTTATGTGAGTTAGCAGCAACTTAGACACAGTCACTTATTTCTGGCACAGCAGTGACCTTTTAGAGCCTTTCTTGGAGTGCACTGAAAAGAAACAGATTAAACAAACAGCTTTAAATAAACCAACAAAACCACTGACACTTAACAAAAGTTCAGCTGACTATACACCCAGTATAATTACATTGCCAGCAGCTAACAAACTGCCATGAAAGTACTTTGATGGTCAGAAAAAATGCTGAAGAAGTATCATCATAGGCCCAGAAAGTTAACTCTTTATGGAGAAAATTGAAGATTATTTACCTTAATAAGGTTCAAAAGCTGGTTTTGCCACAAGCAATTTTAATAAAGAAAAAAAAAGGTTTTTCTGTGTTCTTAAGAGCTTGGAGATATTGGGAGTCAAGAGAGGTCATTAAATCACAGCGTCACAGAATGGTTTGGGTTGGAAAGGACCTTAAGATTATCTAGTTCCAACCCCCTGCCATGAACGGTGACCCCTCACACTAGACCATGTCCCCCAAACCTCTGTCCAGCATGGACTGGAACCCTGTCAGTGATGGAGCATTTACCACTTCTTTGGGCAACCTGTTCCAGTGCCTCACCACCAGTTAAATAGAAAGTGTTGGTATCAAAGCTGAGCATCTTTAAACTAAATTATTTTATCTTCTACAATAGTCTGTATCATTTGATGGTGTATATAGAAGTAGGCATTGACAGCACACCAGGGGGAACCTGCCAGTTGAACAGTGATTTTGTTGCTTTCATTTTCTCCCCCAAATCAACTAGTTCTTTGTAAATAGCATGTATAATTTTAGCAGAAAATTTGTTTAAAAAAATGTTAAATTGCACTAGGTGTTTTTGACTCTAAATGCTCTTTGGGAGAGTATTGGTTTAGGCAGATTTTAAGTTGTTTAATTCTTAGGAGCTCACAGTGGAAAGAAACAATTCTAAAATATAAAACTAGTAGGAAACTAGGGTCTTAAAATTTCTGACTTAAATACATATGAAAATGTTCGGTTTTGAGAACTTGAAGGCTTTGAAGGGATAGTTCACAAGGCCTGTTCTGAATAGGCAAAATGCTAGTTTCAATTCTTTCGGGCGTTTTAGTCCTTCTGGAGGAAGGGCTGTTGCCAGTTAAAGGGGGGGTTAATTAATTCATGCCTACAAGGTGTTACTGAGTTGACTGAGCTTGTCTTTAGAAGCATAGACATATCAAGCAACATTTGAAATTACCCTATTTGTTTGAGTTTTCTTACTCACTTAGCTTGGTTTGCATACCTCTGACTTGAATTCATTGAATTTAGAAAAATAACAGAGGTCTGGAGTGGGTGACATCAAAAATTTGTATCTTGAAAACAAAAAAAAACAGGACTCCTGTGGTAGTTGCACAAAAATTAGGTATGACAATCTGTAGTCAAGCAAATAAATTGGTGTTTGTTCTTCACCTTATAGCAAGCCCAACCACTGCAGCCCAGATGAGCCTGTCAAATCCAGCCATGCTACGGACCCACAGCCTTTCCAATGCAGATGGTCCTTATGACCCCTATAGCGACACACGCTTCAGGAACAGCTCCATGTCTCTGGATGAGAAAAGCAGAACTATGAGCCGGTCCGGCTCTTTTCGTGATGGCTTTGAAGAAGGTAAGTAAAGTATGTGATGGTGCTGGAAGTGATCAGGAGATGGTATTCTCACATAAACCGAGTATACATTTAGTGCTTTTCAGGTCAGCATAAGGGTGGCTTCAGAGCATGGTTCACTCTGAGCAGAGCTCTCATTATTAGATAAAAACCTCAGTCCTAGTCATCATTGTTCTGGTTTTATTTATTCAACAGTCCTTTCGGCTGAGCATAGGAAGGTATGCAAGTGTTGTACCTAGATTATCACTGTTGAAGAAAGTATAAGCATATCGTTTTTGGTAATCTCAAAATGACTAGTTCACACTTAAAGTGCGCGTATTAGTGTTCCCTTAAATAGGATTGTTCTCCTGAACTTGGGCTTTCACAATTCTCTATGTAGTATAAATAATTGATATTGGCCAGCCTGTTGTTTCTGTCCCAATTAATTTTTCCAGTATTTCATCTGTATTCAAATTGTCTTTACTTTTTATTCCTGCTGAGTGTCCTGGGTTGATACCACAAAGCTTCTACAGGAGGGAAACTTCAAAACATCTAGGCTTTTCTTTTTAGTTCCGTGTAGTCTTTTCAAATATGTAATCATAGCTGATAAAAGAAGCCCCCATGTAAATAAAACAAGACAAAGCCCTTCACCTATAAATAAGCATTTAGTTTAGTTGCTACTGATCAGTGGCAGTAGCAGGAGTAGCTATGAGCATAGATTAAAACCCTAAAGTGTTACAGTTTGAGAAATCAAGCATGGGGTGAGTGCTGGGAGTGGTTCATAAGAAGGTTATAGGAAGTGCTTTCAGCATTAGATCTTTGAGTCTTAAATCTGCTTCCGGGCAAGGATTAGAAGTTTGCTTGGCTATCAAGTACTTTATCACTCCTGGGCACACAAGCCTTTGCTGGCTTGGTTTCCCCACCACTGAAGATCTGCACTTTACTCTGCAGTGTTAATACCAGTGCCCTGTTGTTGCTGCTCCCCTAGAGCCAGGCACCTTTGCCAGAGATACTGGTTATCCCATCAGTTTTCTGCTATTGGAAGAGATAAAAAATGTATATTGGATATGGCTCCAGAAAGGTTCGGGGTTAATTTAATGTTGAATTTAGCCAGTTTAACTCCATGACATTTAATTGTATTTGAGAGGCCTGTGGCTGGGGATCTTCAATAGGTTGAAAACGATTAGAATAATGCTGTAGGACTGAAAACTCTTGTCATTGAAGGAATTAACATTAGTTAGTGCCATGGTTTCAGAAAGCTGTGTGATTGTGAACAGTCAGAGGTTACCAAATATTTAGTCAGTTGAATTCCATTCTGTGATGAAAAGTCCTGATCTTACTGAAGAGTTCCTTAATGTAATCTGTGAAGGAATTTAAATCACTGCATCTTCAATAAATTTAAATGATTTAGTAAAACAGCTACTACAGCAAAACTTACTCCAGTTTTATTGAAGACATCCTCAAAAAAATGTAACCTTAGTCTTTTAGGTTTGCAGCAAATCCATTTTGGCATGGAGGTTAAACTGGACCTTATAATTCAGAAATTCTTGTCCAGCAGGGAGGCTAATTTGGAAGAATAATAAGTATGGCGTGTTTGAGGAGGAACCATTTAAAAAAAATAAAAGGGAAGAGCCATGTGAAAAGCTCTACAAAGTGTTTTGAATTCATGTAATAAAAATGAAGTCCAAGAAAACTCTGCCAAGTTAAGAACTTGAAAGCAGTGGAAAAAAGATAACTTCTATATACAAGGAAGGAATTTGACCCTACCATGAATATGCCGAAGAAGTACCTTCCAGATTTCCCTAAATTTTTGGCACCTAAAAGGACAAAAATATTTTACCTGATGGAATGTATGTTTAGGTGAAGTCTTCTTATATTTGGCTTCAGGTTAGGGTTAACTTCTCAGGGAATCACAAGTTATAAGTGCATGTGGTTCCTGAATAGGGCGTTTATCTTGTCCTCTGCTTTCAAACCTGCAGATCTAATCCACCCTCACTTTGAGAGAATAGATCAAAAAATATTATAGAAATTAAATTTATGGTTAATGAACAGATTGATTTTATGCAATCAGGCAGTGTCAGTCAAGTGTAAATCCAGGTCTTAAATAAAGCTTACCAGCCTACTTTTGAATTACTTATTAGCATGTTAGATTACAATCTAACGTATCAGCTTCAGCAGGGCCAGGATTAATTCTTAAAAGCCTTTTTTTTTTTTTCTTTAGTCTCCACAGTGTGAAGTACAGTCAATGTTCTCTCACAGCACATAGGTCAAAACATCAGTCAGTTTTGTAGTACATAACTCTCTTGATAGGAGGGGTTTCAGGACTTGGAAGATGCCAGCAGGAACAACCTCCAAACTATCCTGAACTTCAGGGAGAAAACACAGCCTTTCCAATCCAAGCCAGTCTATCATTTTATGATTAAAAATGACACATGCTTGCATATGCATTTATAGTGCTTGAAAATAATAGCTCCAAAACAATTTCGGGTTTGTAGCCTGCGTGCAGATGCATGTTAACTGCAAAAACCCAGGAATCACATCAAGAGCCTAACTGCCTTCAGGCTCCTGATTAAATAGCCTTAAAGTAGCCATCTGAAGGTACTTTAAAAAGTAATTGCACCAAAGTATTAACTCTTTAGTTGTCCTTGAGACTAGAAATCTCAACTTAGATACATTCAAACAGTGCAGTGGTAATGTCTTACAAGGCAGTAGGATTCCCAAAGTTACATGTTCTTTCCCTTTTTCTGTTTTCAGTCTCATTTCCTCCTTTAAAGTCCCAGTGTGCAGTTGATGTTAACTGAAGAATGCGTGTGTCTCAGTACATTTTAAGGGGCTCTATTTCTTCTCTGACCAGTTGGTATGGTTGCTGTCTTGAATATATCTCTAGTAGTAAAAACTGCACAAAGGAAGAATATAGAGAGGCAAACCAGAAAATAATCTTATATTCTCTGGATGAATCCAGTGGTGGCTTTGTGCAATATTGCTTGTACTTTGGGCTGTCTATCTTGAAGAGGGTTAAAATAGATTAGGAATCTTCATCTTGGAAAAATTATGTCTGAGGGAAGGTGATAATACCTAATTTAGTGCATTAGGATGGGGTGGTTTATCAATTACTTTTTATATCACAGGGGTGTGGAGACACTCAAGGAATTTATTGAATGATTCAGCAGCAAGTCAAAAACAACTGCAAGGAACTATATTTCTAAACATAGAAAGATTTTCATACAGGCAACACGTCGGTGAATTCAGAAACAGGGAAATTAATGGTTAGAGAGGTCACAGCAGCTATGAAAAATAACAGTCTGATTGCAGTTCCCATCTCAGGAATTTCCATGTCTGCTGATTCCCAGAGATGCAAAGGTGTACGTGGGGAAAAATCACTGGGTATCTGCTTGCTCCTTGCATTTCTTTCCGTAAACATGGGCTACAATTGCAGCCAGAGATGGAGCATGCGATTAGACAGCTCCTGGCTCTGACTCACACTGGTTATTTTTATGTTTTTAATGCAGTACTGTCCTTAACATCTGACTATAAAGATCATTTTAATTGAAAGTATGATTAACCAGAAAAAGTAAATGGGTATGAGGGGTTTTTTTTACTTTCTTGTGGGTTTTCTAAATTGTCGTAAATTCATCCAGAAGCCAACTTAGACTTTGTTTACTTCTCTTTCCAGCCTTGCCTTAGGATATAATGTCAAGTGGGAAAGCAGAGCCTATTTATTATGAATGTAGGATCACTGCAGTAGGCAACGAGCAAAGTGGCAGCTTTTCTAAGCCCTTTTTTTGGCTGGAGGATTTAGATGGAAGAAGTGATTTAACACAATTTCGTATGATTTGTACGAAGTTACCTGAAGTCTGAGTTAAAGTTTCAGTTAAATGTATTTTGTTTCTAAAAATAAAGGTAATTTTGCATGTTTCAATAAACAAAGACAAAAAAAACCTGCAGGGATAGGGAATGTTCAGCTCATCGATGCCTGTAATACAGCTCTCCAGCAGAAGGAAGACATAGATGCATTCAGAGGACAATTAAGAGCCACAAAATTAGACAGTGATTTCTTCTCTGCATGTTCCACATCTGCTGCTGGAGCATCTGGTTATGTGCTGAGTATTATGGTTTTTTCAGGACATCTCCATCTTGTTCTGCTGCTTGAAGAAAACAGCCTCCCCCTCCTCAATCTCATCTTAAATTGAAGTTTACTTAGATGTACTTTTGTAATCTCTCCTGAATTTCTGTTAATTTGTTGGGGTTTTTAGTTTGAGTAAACCCTTTTGCAAGTTTCTTAAGATAAGTCGTCCAGAGAAATACTTATTTCTGAACAAATCTGCATTGAAACTTTTCTTTTTAATCTTCTTGACCTCATTTCCCCAAAACCCAGGTATTATTAAATTGTTAAAACAGCTTTATCAAATCATTTGTGGATTGTATTACCTGGCCATGCATTCTTAAAACTGTACATTGTTGGTGCAGTAATATAATTAAGTTTATGATGGATGTTTCTGCAGTAGGCTGGTCATTGGCAGGGGATGTTCTGTGATGATTCCACTGTGTGGTTGCTGTATTTATATTCGTAATGTTGGGTTTTTTTCTTTTAGTGCATGGTTCTTCTCTCTCTTTGGTATCCAGTACCTCATCTATTTATTCAACAGTAAGTATAATAAAGTGAAAAATTTGTGTTTACTAATAAAAATTATTGAATTGACTAGTTATATTGTGCTAATTATTTTTGCCATTCAAGGAGGGGGGAAAAAAGGGCTTCCTTTGATTGTGTTCCGGATGCTAGCTACAAAAGAAATGGTTACATTCAGAAAGATGTCTGTAGGTATTTAGCAGTGTCCTCATCAAACAGATGTTGATGGCCTAAAAGCAATTACTGCTTTGCAAAATGGCCAGATTACTTTTCAAGTCAATATTTTACAACTATGCTGAATTAAGTTTTGCTTCAGAGGGCCTCAGTAGATCTGAGATTTCAGCTTCATTACCTGAAGAACCCCAGAATTTGCTGAATAAACTCATTCCAACCTTGCATTAATGATTTGCTACAAAAGTTTTTAATGCACAGATGTTAATAATTCTAAAGAAGCCATTTGTTCACTGTGCCAGTAATATGTTCTTCAAAAGTATATATTCAGTTAGGTTATCTGATCATAAAACAAGGCTTACTGGAGTATGAAAACACAGGGTTGTTTTTTTTAATGGGTGTTGCATTTGCTTGTTTTCTTCTAAATCTTATGAAGAGTGTCTGTTTAAACATATACTAGGGAAGACCTTGTAGGATAAGACTATACCTGTGCTGTAATGGGGAGGTGAGGCTGCAACATGCAGACCATGTCTTGCCTAGCTTTTCTGTAGCTGGTTGTGGTGGTAACTACAGTCATTCCTGGCATGCTTTGATCACAGGCTTGGGGGCTTCTTAAAACGCAACCCTCTCAAAAAGCTGCTTCTGAGAAGAATTGCTTCTAAAGTATGTGTTACTTGAACAGGATCTTCAATTTCAAATTCTTAATGCAAGTATGATGTGTCTTCGTGCTACCACAGCTGTAACGAGTGTATGTGATACAAGAACTTGCTCTTGGAAGGCCATGTATAACTGTCTGCAAAGTCTCTCAAGCCACCATAGAGCTATTTATCATTATTTCTCATACATGTTTCGCTATTAATAAGCTAAGACTTTGAAAATAAATTGAAATACTATCTTTCATTATTGACTTCAGCTCAAGCAGTCTACATGAAGCCAGAATAGATAGAAGGTATTGGAAGGATGGAAAACAGACCTTTTCCTCTTGGCTTTTGTTTATAATCATGAAAACTTCTGAGCAGCTGCTGTGTAAGCTTCTGGTTTATGTGCGTGCTGCCCAAGCACAAGTGGCTCCTAATAGTGTGGTTTGATGGGTATAATTTTCATGGTGTCTGCTAGTGGACATGTTTACACAAGGACAGTGGAGTGTGTAACTTCCTACCGTATATTTCTTTGTAGCTGAGAACTTTGGTTGGAAACAAGCCATAGTAGCCACAGTTTTACCATGTAAGGCCACAGCAGATGACCAGTACATCCACTTTGCGTTCTTGGATAACTAGCTGTGTGTCCTCAAGTTTTTCAGCATCCAAGTGGGAGTCATTTTATTTCGTATCACTTTGGAATGTAAACACGTGGTCTTCATTCTATGGAGAGCTAGCTGAGCATGGGAGGAAGAGAATTCCTGTCTGAGGTCAGGCACGTTCTGTGACAGTCCTGGCTCTTTGGAAGCCTCATGCAGCTCCTTATGCACTTTACTAGTTCATGATTCAGAGTTGGAGGTACAATGATCTGTACGCTGGGAATTGGAGCCCAGTTCCTTCCTGCAGGAAGAAGTACTGTACAAGCAGCCTGTTTCTTTTTCCTGAAGCGTAAATAAACTAGAAGATTATTTTAGATTGAATATGGATGTGGGAATCCAAAATAAGGAATTCACATGAGGACTCAAAAAAACCTTTTGAAATATTGTATATATTTGTCAGGCTGGTTATGTTGTAACATTCTCATTTATTTTCCTTTGTTTTTATTTTATAGCCTGAAGAGAAGTGCCAGTCAGAGGTAAGAGCACATCATGTTTGACAGGCATAAATGTTCTGTCAAGGCACTCTGCATTTCATGTCTTGCTATTTTAGTTCTCCATATTACAGTGCAATAAAGTGCTCTCTTCAAATATATAGATTCGCAAGCTACGAAGAGAGCTGGATGCATCCCAAGAAAAAGTGTCAGCTCTGACAACTCAGTTGACTGCCAACGTGAGTACAACTTTGAGAACAAACACTAGCAGGGAACGCATTTAATGTGCCAGGTTTTGTGGCTGTTACCAGCCCAGTTTTAATAAGTGACAAAAAGATTTCATGTGTATAACACTCAGTTTAAAATAACTGCATGCATATGGAACCTTCCAAAAAGTAACATCCCCTGTCCTACTGAATTGTCTGATGCTTTTCTTTAAATACTGCATTATATTATTCATTTGGCTTTTGAGATATATATATATATATATATATATATATATATGTAAACCGTCTTCAGAGCTTGAGAAAAAACACTGAGACAGGGTCTTTATACATAGTGTCTTGCTTTATAAATCCAGTTGGATTTGTAGGCACGTGTTTGTGGGATAAGATACAGATGATGGTTGTAATTGGTAAGAATAAAAATTGGTAGAAATGTGAATTGAAATGCGTTATATTTTGCTGTTTCATTAAGATGTAGGCTAATGGTAATAGGTAATAGTAGCATAAGGGGCTGTGAGAACTAATTTCAAGTTATGCCTAAAGAGTAAACATATCTGATTTTTATTAACCAGTGTAGTACTACTTCTGCTTGTTTCCCATGAGGAATTTGATGAATAAGTTTGAAAAAGAAGGATTTGGAAGCCAGGAGGTATTGAGGCAACACTAGTATGACCCTGAGCAAGTTTGTGTTCTGTGCTGATATCTGCAATACAGAAGCTTGCTAGAAAAATAAGCAGTGCTAGAGTAAATAAACTACAGATGAATAGTCATTGGATCATACTGGCATCCTAGTTTGTGGGAATGAATAAACATCAGAACACATGCTACTGAAGAGGACATTCCTGTATACCATCTCTGAACAGGTAGAATACAAAACTTGGCACAGTAAAGAGCAGTAACACCTCTTACAAGAAGGATTCAAGGGGAAATCTACTGTGGTGGTCGCTACAGGCATCACAGTTCTTCATCCAGCTTGCAAAATGGAAAAGCAAAACCAAGAACACAGTTAATAGAAAAGTCAGATAAAAGGGCTTTGACTGCATGTAGCCACTCGGTTGCTCTCCCAGGAGGAAAAGGAAGAATTTAAAAAACCTGCCAGAACTTAAATATTTAAATGTTTGCCTTTCAAATGCAAAGGGTACTGGATACACGAGTTGGTTTTCATCCAGAAGCTTCCTTTACGTATGAGAAAGCAGGACCAGATTCCCTTGCATGCATTTTTTTATCACCTTGTTGAGCTTGTATCCTTCAAACAAAGAACTTGCCAGCTGTGCAACTCAGCCTGTCTCTGCCTTAGTTGTGCTGCAGTGTTCAGATTCAGCCTGTCTCCAAGAGCAGTGAGTAGCACAAGCTACTCTGTTCCTGTCTAAGGTGTCAGTAATTCGCCCAAGACTTTGTGCATGGTTACTACCACTGTCTTTTTGGAGAATAGTTTTTGACAGCTGCTGCGTATTTTTGTTTGCTTTGGAGTAAATTGGGGGAGTGTGCAGTTGGGGGGTCCCCAAAAAAAGTTAGCATCACAATGTATAATATTCTCTTTTGCATTTGTAGGGTTTTATTCGTGCTATTTAAACTTCTTAGACTGGAATTGCCCCTTATTTATCCATAAAACACCAACAGTCTGCTGCAGAGATGTTGCTATAACTGTCCTTGTAATAGATTTCAGTCTGTAGCCTCTTTTCAGAGAACGTACTCTTTTTTCCATTTAAAAGGGTAGGTCTGTTCCCTAAAAAGTTAAGACTCATAAATGCTGTTTGTTAAGACACTGCTTTAGGGACATCTCCTTTACGCAAGATTTTTTTAATGTAAGCATTTTGAACTCATCTTTCTATTTATTTGGTGATTTTTTTTTTCCTGGATTTTCCTGTATAGACACTGCAGCTTTTGATGTTTCTCAGGCTATCAGGGGCAAGAGTTTGAAAAGGTTTTTCTCCAGCTAGGAAGTGCAGATAACTCTCTTTTTCTATAGTTCGCTGAACAGTTTCCAGATAGGAGTAATTATAAGGTGCTTCATCCATATTTGAAAGAGCAACTTTCTCTCAAGGTTTAGGTTAAAGCTTTAAAGGTTTGTATCCCATTATTAATCCATGTGGTCCTGCTTGCCTGTTTCTTCTCTGCTTTTGCAAAGTATTGCTGAGGACTCCTGAATATCAGTGTTGTTGTTCCCTGTTCATCCTCCCAAACAGAAGCTTTGCAGTCTGTGTTTTTAAAATAAATATTTAGATTTTCATACATGTGTAACATGAGGTTCTAAATGACTTTGCTATTTTCTCACAGGCTCAGCTGTTTATTTTCATAGGGGCTGATGGGAATGAGAGATGCACATCCCCGTGTTATTGTACTGCTCATGTTTGTTTTCATTGTGAATGTGAGAACAGTTATTTAGGATAAGTCAGCTGTGTGCTGCTGCTGAACAAGTCAGGAATATCTCTGTGAAAGGTTTTGCTGTTCTGCGTATATTTAGACGAGAGAATGTCCTTTTCCGTTTGGAAAGATTTCACACATTTTATGTCTCATTTTGTGTATAGAATTATTTCCAATAGCAAAATAAAGTATTTTTTATAGTTTGTGTAGATTATTGTGCCTAATGAGACAAATACATGTTGAACTATGTCTCTGTTATTTGTGCACATCCATATCCATATACATGTATATCTATAAAACGATGCCATGTAATTTCACTGGAAACATAGTTCCCTCTTACCAAGGTCCTTTCCGTCTTCTCGATCTGTATTTCCTTCCTTTAACTTACCATCATTTTCATTTCCTAGCTGATGTCCTTAATGTAATCGACATTGGGTTCTCAATGCTTCATGGGAAAACAAAAAAGGGTAATTGGCCAAGCACCAGACGTTTTGGATCATATTTAGCACATGGACCTTGGTTGCAAGCAGATATTCAAATATTGGAAAATTCTTTGAGTTAGATGCAGATATATTGGCCAGTTAAGCATCTGGCAGATTGACTGCAATGCTGAAGTAGTCCTTTATCCCTCTCTGCAGGGAAGGCATCTCTGGTCTCAGCTGCTTAAATTGGCTTTTGGAGTTCTCCTGTTGGGATAGCACAGAGAAAATCTGAAACCTGCAGCACCTTTTTGCCTTAAATCTCCACGAGGAAAATAGTGATCTAGTTGGAGGGATGTTCTGTCTGGCTTTTCTCTATCTAAAAACTTGCTTTATATTTTATCAAGGCCGGATTTGATCTAAGTGTGAGATGTCCCTGCCCATGGCAGGGGGGTGGAACTAGATGATCTTAGGTCCTTTCCAACCCAAACCATTCTATGAGTTACTGTTTTGTGGTTTATTTTGTTTTTTAGGATGTCCTCCTAAAACTTAGGAGTGATGACATTTTGTTGTTTGGGGTGTGCATATATATATACCCCCATATATATATATATACACAATATATATATGTTGTTTGGGGATATATATCTTTTATATGTATATATATGTATATGCACACTTTGGGAGAAGACTTAAGATCATAGAATAATAGAATAGTTAGGGTTGGAAAGGACCTTAAGATCATCTAGTTCCAACCCCCCTATAAACTTTCTGTGAAAAGCTTTGTGGCAGGAGTTCCCTTAACCATATGAAGGGCACCTGAAAACCATCAGTAGGTAATCTTACATATGCTAATAATGGCCCACATAAAAAGTTGAAGATGAAGTCTGATTTCAGAACTGAACAGCAGACGTTCAGAAATATTGATTGGTTTGTCTCTTTTTCCTCTCTACGTTTTGTGACAGGATGTCTTGTCATGTCATTGCTTGCAATAGCTTGAGAACATGGCTAGATAACCAAGGACATCCTTCCATGCCTTCTTGGTGTCAGGGATACTTTCAGGTGACAAGGTGTATTCCCTAAAGCATTCCTGGAAAGACTCAGTTAATGAATTGGATGTTTTAAGAAAAAATTGACTCTAATAAAGTCTTTCTATTTCAAAAATGTGTTTTCCATTTATCACAAGATCCAAGCAGCTTTAAACAGCTGAGAAAAGCACATGAACTAGATTAGTTTGAGAGTGGATTTTCAAAGGACCTTAACTCCTTAGGGATCCAGGAGGTAATTTTTTTCTTGTATTCTGGATGTGGGATTGCATGTTTTACAGAATAAATGAGAATTCCAGACTAGAAAAAGCAATACCACTCTTGGATCCTTTGTTAGAGCATGTTGATGTGATTGCCATAGCCAGGACAGTTTGAGGCAGCTGTCCTGACTATTGCAATCATGATGTCTTTAAGAAGTGGATGTAGTAGCTGAGTGAGGAGCCGCCTCTGGGAAATCTCCTGATGTGTCAGGTCACAGTATTACTCGTATGTCTCTGTCTTCTGAAGTATTTGATAGCAGCTGCTGCTGAGCAGGGCAGGGTTTATAGCCTAAAACTGCATCATTCCGTAGCATGCTGCCATAGAAGTTGTACAGGAAAGGGCTGTTTGCTAAAATTTTGAAGTTGGTCAATTACCTTTGTCATTTCTGATTTTCTACAAATAAATAGTTCCCGGTAATTCGTTTGCAAGCATTTTCATAACTCATGCTCTACTCATTTGACCTTTTCTAATCAGTGTTTTTAGTCTGTATCATTTACACAACAAACGATGCAGTTCCCTAGGTGGTCCATTTAAATAGCTGCAGAAATGTGCTTGTTTGGGGAGAGCAATCTACTCCTGTATGGTTTGACTTTCAGGCTCACCTCGTGGCAGCATTTGAGCAGAGCCTGGGGAACATGACGATCAGACTGCAGAGCCTGACAATGACAGCAGAACAAAAGGCAAGCTTGAAAAGGGTTTGGGGATGTCTTAACTTCTGTTTCCAGCACTGCTGCTTGTGCTTCTTCTGTGATTGGGGGGATTTTGTGCTGTTTGGCTTTGTTTCCTCAGTTGTGGCGACAGTAAAATGGAATCAAAATTTTGCATAGAGTCCTCATTTTCTGCACTTGGATGTTGTGGCAAGTGAGCAGGTTATTCCTACAAGTTGTTGGTTTGGACACATCTTCATTATTGCATATTTTTGCAACAAGTTTCTTCCCAGTGCATCCACACATGTGCATGGTAAAGAGAAATACTGAGAAAAATCTTTGCAAGACAGGCAACACTGGGGTTTTGGACAGTATGCTTGAATATATGCAATTAAGTAGTGCATGTTCAAGCATACACAATCCAATATACACAATATTTCTGTATTCCAGAGCATCCATATTCTTTCTTATCATAATAACCAAGCTATTTTGCAGCTTAGCAAGGGTGTGCTTCCCTCTGCATGCCAGACCTCATTTTCATCTCCTTGTACATATATTCCAGAAATTCTCTATCAGCTACCAATACCCAAATTGAAAAGCGGCTTCTTTGGAGCAGTTACCATCATACTATCAGCATTTTCCAGCATGTCACCTTTTTTTTTTTTTTTAACCCTTATTCAAGGACTCAGAACTGAATGAGTTAAGGAAGACAATTGAACTACTGAAGAAGCAAAATGCTGCTGCCCAGGCTGCCATCAACGGAGTCATCAACACACCTGAGCTCAACTGCAAAGGTAAGCAGCACAGCATCACCTATAGAAACTGTGCAGTGCTCATGAGACTTTTGTCCTCTCAGGAGTAACTGATGTAACCATCAAAGATCAGCTTTGTCTTATGCTCTAGTTAACTTGTTTGGGATCATGTGGGATTTGAAATAGGTATCTGTGTAAACTATGATAAATTGTACAGAAGTAAATGGAAAAGTAAACCGAGAAGGTGTTTTAACAAAGCTTTTTCCACCTTCAGTGTGGAAAATTCACTGAATTTACCAGAATCATTTAGTAATTCACCCATCTAGCTGCTGTTGTGAAGCAGCAGGGAGCAGAGTTCCCCATTTCAGAGCTGTCAGACACTTGGTTTATTTTCTTCAGTGTTTTCAGTAATCTCCAGTGTAAAGTCTAAATACAGTCCTGCCTATCACACATCTCGTATTTATCCCAGTAGTTACACAGGGATATATTCCTAATGGAAGGGTTTGTAAGGTCTGGGTCTGAGATTTTAATCTCTCCGCAAGAAACAGTGATTATCATATACTAAGCTGCATCAAAAAAAGTGTGACCAGCAGGCTGAAGGAGGTGATCCTGCCCTTCTGCTCTGCTCTTCTGAGACACCAGTTGGAGCACTGTGTTCAGTTCTGTTGTCCTTAACATAAGAAGGACATGGAACTGTTGGAGCAAGTCCAGAGGAGGCCATGAGGATGATCAGGGGCTGGAGCACCTCCTGTTATGAAGAAAGGTTTGAATGGGAAGCAGGCTGAGAAAATTGAGCCTCTTCAGTCTGGAGAACAGAAGCTGCATGGAGACCTCATAGCAGCCTTCCAGTATCTGAAGGGGACCTACAAGGATGCTGGAGATGGACTCTCAGGGACTGTAGCAATAGGACAGGTGGTGAAGGGTTTAAACTTAAACGGGAAGTTGAGGTTAGATATAAAGAAGTTCTTCCCTGTGAGGGTGGTGAGGCACTGGAACAGGCTAACCAAAGGTGTGGTAAATGCTCCCTCCCTAGCAGTGTTCAAGGCCAGGTTCTACGGGGCTTGGAGCAACCTGGTCTAGTGGAAGGTGTCTCTGCCTGGGGCAGGGGTTTGAAACTGGGTGAGCTTTAAGGTCCTTTCCAACCCAAACCATTCTATCATTCTGTGATTAGCAGCAGTGATTTGAATTACACCAGGGTGATTGTCAAGGTGTTTGTTTCCCTAAATGTTTCTTTTAGATTACATAATAAAACACCAAATTGCAAATTTTGACATTGCCTCCATTCATACGCAGGACCTGGAGCTGCTCAAGCCACAGACCTGCGGATCCGCAGACAGCACTCTTCGGATAGTGTCTCCAGTATTAACAGTGCTACCAGTCACTCCAGTGTGGGGAGCAACATTGAGAGTGATTCAAAGAAAAAGAAGAGGAAGAACTGGGTGAGTATACTTTAGCAGATTGTGTGAGTTTTATATAAAACTGTCAGAACACACCCCAGTGAAACTGAGCCACTCAGCTCCTCACTCCTCCCCTCCTACAGCAGGTTAGCACAAGGACTATGCACTGCTGAAATCCTGTGTAAACTCTTTTGAAAGTTTGAGACCTAAGTGATGTGTATGCTTGTGTTGATGCATAGTACTGAGTTTTAGCTTCTACCGCTGAAAGGCCAGTCTTAAATTAGAAGTAGCTGTCAAAGATCAGTTCTGGCTAAAAGTAATATGGTGTCCCACCCCTTAGGGGAAACCTGCAATAAGAGATTCTTCTTTTTCTTTGGCTTGTAGGGCTTGCTTTTAAGTGAACATGTTAAACGCTTTAAGAACTCTGTTTTGAGAATTGCCATGAAGCTCTACAATGAAAAAATAACCAATCTTGAACAGTTTTGCTTACTTGTCATTTCCCATTTTTCCTTCTTTGCACATCATGTACTCTGTACATGGTACCCTGTACTGGAGGAAAGGTACATTATATTAAACTCCATTTTCAGTTAGACCATAATTGCCTTAGTGTCTTAGTCTAATTGTAGTCTGGACGAAAGTCCCTAGATCCTTTATTGTAGCCAGTAAAGCAATCCATCCCTTCCTTCCTACTGAATTTAAGTCTTCCGGGATCTTTTGGTTGTACAGATAAATCCGTATAAATACAAAATGTGGTTAGAGCTGGTAAAAGCTTGATTTGTATTTGCACAGTATCCTCTCAGAAATGCTTGTGAAACTCCTGAACTATAGGAAACAGCTTTCTGAGGAGGTTCTTGTTTTTATTTCTCTCTTGTCCCAGTGGTTTAATTTTGATATCTTTCCAGGTCCTTCATAACAGCAGTATTTCCACTCTGCCCCTGAAATAATTGGTTGAATGGAAACTGTCATCTCCAAATCCTTCTTGTGCTAGCTTATGCATCAGTTATAGACAAAGTAAATTGCTTTAACTGAAATTGCTAGCAATTCTGAATTGGTGATACAAACCGTTCATAATCATTCAGCTTCAGTTAAGACAAATACTAAGTTTTTGCTTTAGCTTCAGTTCTTTGTTTTGTAACCTAGAAGGTATTACCCTACATCAACAGTTATCATTCAGCAGATGACTATTTTTAAAGAAGGTTAAGGAAACATCTCCGTATTAAAAATAAATAAATAAAGTTTTCAGGAAGTAGGAGAAAAAGGACAGTCTTTTTATGTAAGTTGGGTCTGATTACCCATTGTTGTCTATTCCACAAATACTGAAGAAGTTCTCAGCCAAGATCTTTTTGTTATCTATGGAAACAACACGGCTGTCCATTCAGAGCTGAAACACCAGATTTTCAACATTTCTCACTGTAGGAGTCTTTGTCTAGTTTAAAATTAACTTTCAGCTCATGCTAAGCCAGCCTGTTTACAAAAGTTAATTTGCGATAGCATTAAATGGTGTTCATAGAGTATCCTGAGTTGGAAGGGACCCATGAGGATCATCAAGTCCAAACCCTGACTCTACACAGGGTAACCTAAAAATTAAACCATTTATCTAAGACCATTGTCCAGATGCTTCTTGAGCACTAACTGTTGAACTGTAACTTTGGGATAACGTCAATTTAATCACATTTAATTCATTCTTTTTGTTGTTTGAATATGGCAGTCACACGAAAAAAGGTTATTTTAATTGCAGGTAGGTGAAATACTTGTTCCTGCAATGAAAAACACAATATTAACCTGGCTGTTAGCCAAAACATTCTGTCTGAGCTAAGGAGAAAATAAAATTTAAATAGTTAAGAGGTTTTGGTGTGGTGTTTCCCCCAGATAACACAAAAAATAACCATATGTCTTTTGAAACACCTTGTTTATGGATAATAGAGTTCCAGTTTTAAAGTAACTGATGGTCTTTGTTGATTATTGATCATGTTTGTCTTAGAAAGCCAAAGCTTTCCTGGCTTTCCTGTTAAAACATGTCTTCTTTTCATTCCCCCACTGCCTTTTGCTTGCGCTTCTTCTGGCAGGTCAATGAGGTAAGGAAGACCTACTTTACACTATGAGACACAAAGCTAACCCATCCATTTACATCACTAACCGTTTCAGCATCATTAACCTTGGCTGAGCCACATCATGTTGTAGCTGCAAGTTGTTAGAACATCTCTGTCAAGCCTGTTGCACTGAACAGAATTTGCTATGAAATAATTAAAAATAGGAAGCATTGATATCCACTCCTATTGACATTATTAATCTCATTGTCAAGGAAAAAAAAGCTTTTTTATTCTTTTTTACCTGTATTAAAATATACATGAGTATGGCTTTTATCAGTTGGAGTATTTGCATGTTAAAGTTCTTATTCTGTAGTGCTTTTTGCCTGGTTGCATTCTTAATGATGTGCCTGCTGTTGTGTTCTTGGGGTTTTTTCAGTTACGCAGCTCCTTCAAGCAAGCTTTTGGTAAAAAGAAATCTCCCAAGTCAGCATCTTCTCATTCAGATATTGAGGAGATGACTGATTCTTCGTTACCTTCTTCACCAAAGCTGCCACACCATAACTCCACTGTTTCAACATCATTGCTGAGAGCTTCCCATTCCAATTCTCTGTAAGTGATTCAAGTTCTAAACAGCAAATGCCGTGGAAGGGATCTTGCTGCATTGGTAGAGGAAAAGAGAAATATTGTGCTTTGAAGAGATCCAAAGTTTTCCATGCTAGCTTGAAAAAACATCTCTAGGCCGCTTTACAGAAACAAGCAGAGGCAAAATGTACCTGACACCACCCTGTCACCTTTGATTCTTCTGTTTAAGAACCTGCACATCTGTACAAGCACTACAAGAGTCTGACAGCTCTTCATCATGAGGCCACAGGAGGAGATGCAGACTGTGCTACAGATCAGGGCTGTTCTGTTGCCACTGATAGGTGTTTCTCCCACTTACCTTATCAACCAGAGGGGTACTGTGTTTTGCTAAATGGGGTGAAATCCTTAATCCTGTCATACTGACAAAAGAAGGAACAAAGATCACACTTAACACCTACTGCCTATTTTGAATGTTCTGTAGTCAAAGGAGATTACAGGCAGAGAATAGAATAGCTGAATTTTGTATTCAGGGAATTAAAGATAGGTAGGGTGACTCCCAACCTAGTGCCTTTCTGTTAGTGTCCAGGAAGCCAAAAATCATTGCATTGTTACTGTAGCATAATTTATATTTCATTGGGATGCTATCCCAGCAGAACATACTGAGTATGAAGAGTATTTATAACCAGGGTGATCTTAAAGGGCAGAATTAATTGGATCTCTTGCTGTTAATGGAACAAGCCAGGCCAAGTCTGAGATTTTGTTTTCTCTATTGGCTAAAGACTGCTACTCTGCCTTGATGATTTCCATAGCTAATCTGCCATGATGAATTCCCAGTTAAGTTGACAAATTCAGATAACAGTAAGGATTTATTGGAAATCAAACAGGATAGTTAATGATACAGCTGAACTCATCTGCCAGCTTATGCCTGATGAATGGAGATGATCCACTCTTTTTTTTTCTTTCGTACCTACCCACCCACCTTGCCTGCTCCTTCCCTTGCACTGGCTCTGCTACTTCTCAGACAGCTCCACTGAGCTGATGCAGCGTTCTAATTATGTGAAAAATAGTTTGACAGAAACAGAGATTTTTTTTCCCCCAGGTTGCTGGATTGGCTCAGGTCAGGGCTCTGATCAGACTCTGATGAGTGCCAAAGCTGGCATAGGCGTGGAAGCATGACAGCGGCAACTGCCAGGAGCAGGCTGGGGAAGAGGAGTGAGAAACAAATGGGCTCTTTTGGGTGGTAGCAAGCTATTGTATAGGCTTATCTGTATGACCAAACCGTACCCTTTTGCTTGGGATTGTATGAGAATTCTCCTCTCCAACCCTTCGGGAGTAGGGGGATGGAAAGAAGTGGGGGGGAGTGAGTGAACGAGTTACCTGAGTGGGTTTAAACCACGACACAGGTAGACTTTAAAGGCAGGACTTCTGCTGTGCTGCTTAACTCGTTTTATGTTCATGGGAAGGTCACAGGCAATCTTGAGGCTTCATTTTGGCCATGTGTGAAATAAAGTTAATTATTTGCCTTACCATGCTAGTTTGTCTCTGAACTCACATTTTAGAATGTGCTTGGGTAACTCTGTAGAACAGATTTTATGTTAATTTTGTCAGTAGCTTCATCACTTGAGCAGGATAAATAAACACAGAAAGTTGTAAGAGGTGGTATTGTGAAACATGTAATTACCAAGCAGCCTTATGACCTTGAAGATGTCATGCAAAGCTTCCAGCCTGATATCAAATCAAATTCATTTGAGTAAGTACCCAGACTTGATGTTTCGCCCATTGCTTGTTTTCACATGAAGAAGTGAAAACAATAGCAATAATTTCCAGCCATATAATAGTGATGAAATGTTAGTAGCTGAATCTAATCCCTCATGAATTATTAGAAGCTTCTCCAGTGTCTTGAGCCTGAGTGAGGTTCTGGTAACTACAGCAAATTGAGCATTAGAAATCTGAGGCCAGAAACTTGTCAAATTCTGATCCTATCTATTGTCAGTCAAAATGCTATGTGCTGTATCTCATCTTGATATGAAAAGAGTTAAACTCAGGGAAGGATAGGATACAAGTAAAACTTCTGTATTTTGCCTTATTGGCTTTTTGGTGGGGAAAGCATCTCATTAACCTGATTTAGGGAGAGATATTTTAACTGTGAAATCTCCTTCAAAGCCTGCAGCTGTGTAGTTGATCTTTATATAGATACACTTATGAATGTGCTGAAATGTTACTCACCCAGAATCTTTTTTTTTTTATTGGGGGGAGGAGGGAAGAAAATTGCCACCAAAATGTTTTAAGCATGAGTGCTTTGAAGCGAGCAGGAATTTATCACGCTTCAATAGGTGTAGAGTTCCAAAGCCCTCCAGAACAGTTTAGGGAAACCCAGCTGTGCGCACCTGGTGAGCTTTAAATCTGTCTGTAAACTCATCAATCTCCAGCCAACTGCTCTTACTGCCTGCACCCCCTTCATTTATTTAGGTTTTGGCTTTAGACGTTTTCCTTTATGGCAACTACCATGAAAAAAAAATTAAGACTATCCAGTAGGAGGTGATTTCCAGAATTCTGTTTCAGGATTCAAGACAAATAACCCTCAGACATATTTATTTCACTAGCTTCTAATTTTTCCATGACATACCTGACTCATGTATCACTAATCAAATAAGCCCAAACTGTTGCCTGCTTCCTGCAGAATAAAAGGAGTTTATTCGTCGTTTACTAATAAATGCTGGAGAAGCACCGTCTGAAAAGTAACAAATGGTTTTGTTCAATGTCTGTGTTTCCATCTTCTCCAGTATTTCTGAATGCACTGACAGTGAGGCTGAAACAGTTATGCAGTTACGAAATGAGCTGAGAGATAAGGAGATGAAGTTGACTGACATTCGGCTAGAAGCCCTTAGCTCTGCTCATCAGCTTGACCAGCTTCGTGAGGCGATGAACAGAATGCAGGTAAGAAGTAACCACCTCAAATATTGCAGTTTTGTTGATGTGTTAAAGACTGGCCAACCTGCCCCACAGTAAAGATCTGGAAGAAGGTAAATTTGAAATTTTTAAATGCTTACTTAAAGTTGTGTTTATGTTGCAAGTGTTAAACCTCGTACCTTCATTAAGAGTCAGCTTGAACACGTGAATTCTGCTGCACTCAACCCTGAAAACGTGGGAAGATCAGTTTGACTGTCAGCAACCTCTTAAAATGCTCCCATGCTCTCTGCCTTAATATAGCTGCATTTCAGTGTTTAGTGAATTCCCACATTTATGTTTTCTAGGATACTTTGAAAAGTTTCATGGAAGGGGCATTGTAAGAATTAAAATCATTATTAAGATAAAATATGAAAATGGCATTTCTGCTGAACTGCTCTTTCTTCTGAAGTTACTTATGTTGCTGTCTTTTAAGTGTGTTTTCACTGTGCCTTCTTAACTCCTGACTTTGTCTTTTCAAGAGTGAGATTGAAAAACTAAAAGCAGAGAATGATCGGCTGAAATCTGAAAACCATGGCAGCTGTAGCAGGGCTCAGTCTCAGGTTTCCATTTCATCCTCTCCAAGACATTCAGTGGGTCTCTCTCAACACAGTTTGAACCTCACAGAGTCAACCAGTCTCGGTGAGTTTAATGAGAAAGGCGGTGGGCAGGTTTTATCCTGCACTTGGAAGATTTGGTTTGGTTAGCCATGGAAAAATGAAAGCATGAAAATTATTAACAGTTGAGGTGTGGAAATATGTCAGGAGCTGGCACAAAGCCTCCTTTTAAAATGTTGTCATAGGTCTGCTACACCCTAGGTTGGAGTTGTCCAATTATGACCTCAGCTGCCAAGAGTCATGTTTAAAGCCATTTAATAGTGTACATTTCCCAGGGGATATATCGTAGGAAGGAAAATACAGAGTAACTAATAATTTTCAATGCCCTTCACTTTTTAAGTGATACTGATATTTGGTAGAGAAGTCAGTAAACCCATTCTTATGTTTTACCTTGGGGCATGCGAAGCCCAGATGTGTTGTGTTTGACTACAGTAAGCGTGTTGGCATCGACCAGAATAGTCTTCATTGTTATTAAGATACAGCTATGAAGCCGTTGATGTTCTCTATTCACAGACATGCTGTTAGATGACACTGGAGATGGCTCTGCCCGGAAAGAAGGAGGCAGACACGTCAAAATAGTTGTCAGCTTTCAGGATGAAAGGAAATGGAAGGAAGTGAGTTATGTTTTGTGCCTAGCTTTAAAATATAAGTAACTGTGGAATGTGCCAGGGAATTCAAATTTATTGGTGTATCACTAGTGATAGACAAGGCACTCAGCTCCCTCCCACTTCCATGGAGCTGCTGAGGCCCAGAACTGTCAGTTCAGGTTATCTCATGGACTCACCTACAATAGCTCTGAACTAATAATGAAAATGATCCAGTGTATCAGTAGAAGGTGCACTGAAATGCTGGAAGCTCCAATATTCTGGAAGAATTTAATGGATCCAAACTAGGACATCTGTGTGTTATCATTCTAGTTCAGGTTTTCCTCTGGTACAGCTATCCCATTTTGAATGACATCTTTCAGAGGTTCTCCACTTGCAAGTAATTGAAAGCAAGAATCCTAAATACCTGTTTTTACAGGTGTACTTAAGAAATAATTCTGTGTCTTTTGTAAGGGGACACACACAAAAAAAATCTGACTAGTCAGAAATAAATCTGACTCAGCAGATTTTGTATTAATATTTGCAGCCCTGGGTAAGCAAATTGACAGTAAATTATAATGCTGTCTCTATATGTAACTATTTATACATATAACCATGTATAATTTTTACATATGTATGTAGATTTCTATGTCTATGGCAGCATTTCTGGAAGTAAATAGAATAAACCTTGCAAAAGCAATATAGTTGATTGCGAAGTCATGGGAAAATGAACATACCGTGAACTTTCCTGCCTAGAATTCTCCTAAGAGTCTTTCTGTCTTTTTGAATTGTTCATAGATTAGTTAATAAAAACCTTTTACTTAACATAAGCACTGCATAAGTGTCCTTTAGATCTGTTACTCCAACACTGCAGAAGATGTTTAGAAGGAAAGAAGGATTTCATATAGCATTTAGAAGTCACTATAGAGAGTGGTAAAGATGCACCACAATAAAAAATGAAGGAGGAGGAAAAAAAAGCTATTTTAATAACATTAAACAGACTTGCCTGATATAGTTAGGATTTATTTATTAACTTCACATTTCTGTGCATTTAGGATTCGAGGCCTCGCACCTTCCTCATAGGCTGCATTGGAGTGAGTGGCAAGACCAAATGGGATGTTCTGGATGGGGTTGTACGACGGTTGTTTAAGGTTAGAGAGTACAGTTTGCTGAGTGCCTGAATTGTCCTATTCAGTTATGATGGTGCCAAGCAATATTGAACTTGCTGTGATGATGGCTATTCTAGCATAGAACAAAGCTCCCCCTGGCTTTCAGTGCTGGGTTTCAGTGCTGCCTAACTTCCCATGTCCCTTTTTCGCCCTAGGAGTATATCATTCATGTGGATCCTGTGAGCCAGCTGGGGCTGAATTCAGACAGTGTTCTGGGCTACAGCATTGGAGAAATCAAACGCACTAACAGTGCAGAGACACCTGAGCTTCTGCCCTGTGGTTATCTAGTTGGAGAAAACAACACTATTTCAGTTACCATCAAAGGTAGTTATGCTTGACCTGCCTGTTGTAGCTCTCACTAATTGCAGTTTTATCAAAGCTTGCTGAGTCAAGAAACTTAGAGAAGTAGAAACTTCTTCTTGTGTTTCTTTTTCCCATTCCTGCCTTTTATTTACTGGTACTTCTATTTTCATGTGATGAAGACAGCACTTGCAGTATGCAGCGTCTATAAATTCAGCAAATTTTCAACCTGTGACAGGAGGAAAAAATTACTCAGCAGTTTCCTCCGCATATCTTGAATCTCTTGCCTGGAGTTGTCCTAGAGAAGATCTCAAACCACAAGGGATGAGGTAGAGTTGTTTGAGCAGCAAAGTACCTTCCAAATGAATAAAGCCTCAGAATTTCGTTACATCTTTGTGAGAGCTATAGTTGTTATTTCCTTCATGCAGAGTAGAAAAACATCTGGATTTAACTTGCTTGATTGGTCTCGCTGAAGAATCCTCCCTTAGGCACCAATAAGGAGGGATCCTAGAATTCTTGGGATGCCTCAAAATCTGGATTATTTTCAAAGTGTATGGTTTTCAGAATTCTCATTACATCGTACTGCTAAGAATTTACTTCTTATATTTCTCATATCATTTCTCATTTGGTTTCTCAGGGAACCCTTTTTGTGTGAAAACTAAACTAGGAAACCAGGTTTCAGGGGAAAAACCCTCAACCTGCTGCATTTTGAATGTTACACCAGTGAAATCTCAAACGCAGGTCTGCATACAGAAGAGTATTTGAGACTCTTGCCAAACACTGCAGCTCAGCTGTGAAATTTGGCTAAGGATAGTTTGATATTTTTAATATTAGTGTAAAAAATCAGTTACCGTGAGTAGCAAATCAGTGGAAAGACAAGTTATGAAATACATCAATTTACTGAGGCCTGATGTAAACCCAGGTTATTCTGCATACTTGGAATACGTTGTCCAATAGTAAATCCCAAGTGAAATACTGCTTAAGGTCTGTAAAGACTCAGTCTGATTTTACATTTAACTTGCATTGGCTTCACTTGTACTTTGAAGGTTCATCTGTGATAACAGTTTTCAGTAAAATAGAAATGTATTTAATCAGTTTATGGAAAATCACTTACATATAGCTGTGAGATATAAAGCTGCCTGTATAAATATTTAATATACCAAGTAACCACTAAGGTGCAAACATTTCTCTGTGTGATCTGCCAGTTTCCCTTCCTGCTGTTTTTCCTGAGCCAGTTCTGCCTAAAGTGACTGCTGACATTGCATAAGTGCTTATCAGTAGTTTTCTGTTAGAAGAGATAACTATCAGCATACAGAGAAGTTTAATTACAAGTGTTTGGGAAAGCAGGGGGAGGTGATGATAGCTGGAGGTTTTGTCTAGTGATTCAAAAGTAAACAGGTAAATTCTGGATGAATTATTACCGTACAAGGCAAAGTACTGTAAAATGGATGGTTTGCATGTGAAAAGTGTGGCCTGGAATCATTTACTATGGCAGCTTTCATAGGGCCTTAGACACCCTAGAACAGAAAGCTGAAGGAGGATACAGGCTAAGCGCACAAGTCACTTCTGCCTTTATTTTTGTAGCTTTATATGTGCTCGTCTCAACATGAGGGATACCAGAGCTGGGACGGGATTTACCTCTAAAGTGAAAAACACCTTGGTCAAGCCAGATCTAAATCTGCTATTTCTAAGTGTGATTTTGCAGGAGTTCCTACTGTTTGCAACCTACAATGTTGTACAGTCATAAAATAACATTTTCCAGTTCTCTGGTTTGACTACATATTTATTTCATCTAATCACAAAATGGTTTGGGTTGGAAGGGACCTTAAAGCTCATCCAATTCCAACCCCCTGCCACAGGCAGGGACACCTTCCACTAGACCAGACTGCTCCAAGCCCCATCCAGCCTGGCCTTGAGCACTGCCAGGGATGGGGCAGATTTCAACTAATCTTGATTTGCTTTTCATCATAACTACTTGGTTAAAAAAGAAAACTTTTAAAAACTGAGGCAGTTTGGCTAAAGATGGTGAATCTCTCTAAATGAGGAATCTTTTCCTGTTGCAGGTATCTGCGAGAACAGTTTGGATGGTCTGGTGTTTGAATCACTGATCCCAAAGCCTATACTGCAGCGTTATGTCTCTCTCCTGATGGAACACAGACGGATTATCTTATCTGGCCCCAGTGGCACTGGTAAAACATACCTAGCAAACCGTCTGTCTGAGTATATGGTCCTTAGAGAGGGCAGGGAGTTGACTGATGGCATTATTGCAACCTTCAATGTGGACCATAAATCCAGTAAGGTGAGGACACAGAAATCATCCTTGCATGATTAATGAAAAAACAAGAGACTCATCTGTTACTAATCCATCAAAAGCTGATTTAAAACTTCTCTTTTTAAAGCATTATGTTAATCCTCGTAGGAAAAATATTAAAAGTTCCAGAACTGCAGATTCACCTGATTATGGGCCTGAAATAGTAGGCTTCCAGGTGTATATTTAAACATCTAAAGGTGTCATGGTTTTTCAAGTGTTTAGGAGATTGAGAATTGCCCAGGAAGTTAAACACCTGCATAAAATTCCCAGAAGCTTAAGCAATCCCTACTGCATGTGGGCATTCTTCCAAACACCCTCAAATGCAACTCTAGGCTGTCAAGAGTTTCTGCAGCTGCATGTATCAGCAGTTGCAATCTGCATATGCTGGGTTTGGAGTGACTGTTGTCCAGACACATTCCTGCACTGGTAAGGCATGTCTGTGCTTTTTGATGTGTTGGAGGGTTTGCTGAATATACCTCCAGTGAATGTCTACGTTAAAGAAAAAAACAAACTGTATATTTAATGGCCTTAGGCACGTTTTCCTCTGGAGGAAAGGAATGGTAGAAATTGTGGTTGTAGGAAACTGGTAAAATTTGAGAAGTGCTATGGAATAAATGCTTCTGCAGAGAGAGTTGAACAAGTTTCCGAAAAGAAAGAAAAATACATTTCAGATCACTGAGTGGCAGATTAGGACAGCATGAATGAGAAAACACATACCAAATTACAAAATCTTACCGCCCCCATTAAGCCCTTTTCTCAAACATAGTGTTCAAATCTTCAGCATAACTTAGACAGGAGAAGTAAAAACATATTCTGCTGTTTTCTCATGGAAAACGTATGTGTTTGTAAAATGTCAGGCTCTTTTGCCTTAGATTTTATGACAAAGGTAGCAGTTTATCTTAACTGTATTTTCAAGGAATATGAAGAAAACTGCTTGCTTTTCTCTCTTTCTTTTCTTTATATATTCTCTGCAGGAGCTTCGCCAGTACCTGTCCAACCTAGCAGACCAGTGTAACAGTGAAAACAATGCTGTGGATATGCCTCTTGTAATCATTTTGGATAATTTGCATCATGTTAGCTCCCTAGGAGAGATCTTTAATGGACTTCTAAACTGCAAGTACCACAAATGGTAATGAAATACTCAGAACACATTCCAGTACTGCAGTAGGACCACTGCTGTTGCAAAATGTGATTACAAACCCAGTATCTAGATGAATTTGGTCAAGTGGACTGAAACGAATGGACTGTCCATATTATGGACAGCATTCCAGAGGTTTTATTCTTCATTAAATGATCAGTTCCTCTAAAATCGGTAATGAAATAGTAGGAGAGGGTTTGGGTAATACGTGTTTACATCATGCAATAGATCTGCAGTACTAAAGCCCCATTTGCAAAGAAATATCCTGCTTTGAGATTTCTGTTTTACTTTGAGAATTTGATGATCTTGGAACTCAGATTCTCAGTAAATTATTTGGTTGTAATTCAAAAATGATTGACAGAAGAGGCTTGAGTAACCCTTTGTAATGTTGAGATTGTTGTTTTTCAAAGCAAGTCTGATTTGCTTGATTTTGTTTTGTTTTTTTTTAATAGTCCATATATTATTGGCACAATGAACCAAGCCACCTCCTCAACACCTAATCTTCAACTTCACCATAATTTCAGGTACTGTTTATTCATGTTTCTCATTTATGTTTGTGGGCTGGCAAAGGAGTAATGGCTACTGAGTCATCTGAAATTGCTCTTATCAACTGAAATAGCAAACTGAGGGAGAAATACCATTCACTCGTAGTTGCTGCCCTAACGTGCAGCTTTGTTATGATGCTATAATCGAAGTAACTGCAGTTCATAATACTTCCAGAGGATTGTTCACATATTTGATCTTCTAAGAAATTTTAAATAAGACAATATTTAGGCAAACTGAATGAGAAATAAGCTGAAACAATGCACAGTACAAGTTGTTGCAGCTACTGAGCTCATCAGCCCAAAGTAACTTTGGCTAAGAAACATATACAACAGGGATAACCCATTTTGATCGTGATAATAATCTAGAAATAAGACAAATTTAATCCACAATAGTTAGGTTCAGTAGCATGAAAGAGAACCGATGGACGTCTCTGCTGTTCTGCCCTAGATGGGTGCTATGTGCTAACCACACTGAGCCAGTCAAAGGCTTTCTGGGCCGTTTCTTGAGAAGAAAACTAATTGAAATTGAGATCAGTGGAAGGATGAGAAATACGGAGCTGGTTAAAATTATTGACTGGATTCCCAAGGTCTGGCAACATCTGAACAAATTCTTGGAGGCTCACAGCTCCTCCGATGTTACTATTGGTAAGTGCTCTGTCTGTATGCCCAGGTATACATAAATAGATGTATTTTGTTTCCTTGTATAAGGGGTGTATCTGTACATTTCTTTGTTCTAGATCAGGTTAAAAAGGTTTCTTTAAAACCCTACTTTCACATGGCAGCGTACTCTAAGGCAAACTGTACAAAATCTTTCTGAACATCTTTTTTCCTAAATAAAAAGTCCTGGCTAGAAACTGTGTTAGGAAATCTGGTTGTTTTCACCTTGAAGCCTGTAGTTTTTCAAGTTGATTCAGAGGATTTTTGAGCTCTCACAAAGAGAAATTCACCAGCTAGCTACTTATGTTCTCACATCTTTGGCTTCTTTCTCTCGAGAACTGGAAGTAGTTGTTTGGTCCTGTTTTTGATGTGTATCGTGATTGGAATTTGAGTGTAATAATCTGAATTTTCCTTTCCAGGTCCACGGCTCTTCCTCTCCTGTCCGATAGATGTAGATGGTTCTAGAGTTTGGTTTACTGACTTGTGGAACTACTCCATCATCCCCTATCTTCTGGAGGCAGTTAGAGAAGGGCTGCAGGTGAGCAGGCAAAAATGAAAATCATAGGTCTTGAGTTGGTATCCATTGAAAAGGCAACACAGCATCAGACAAAACTTAATAATGGCAACACTTTCTGGAGGTATAACTTTACACACTGTACACCTGCATGTCTGTCCTGGGTTCAGCAGTAGCAGTCATGTTTCTCCTCCTTGGTAGCTGGTGCAGTGCAGTGTTTTGACTTTCGGCTCGGGAACAGAGCTGATAGAGATGTTTTGGTTTGGCCAAGGACTTTGTGAGCCTCATGCTCTGCCAGGGAGGAGGGGAAGCCGGGAGGAAGCAGAGACAGGCCACCTGACCCAAACTGACCAAAGAGGTATTCCATACCACAGCACGTCATGCCCAGGATGTAACTGGGAGTTAGCCAGAAGGGCTAGGAACTGTGGGGTTGGAGGAGGTATCAGTCAGAGCTTGGTCGGGCTGGGGGGGTGAGTTATCGGTTGGCTGGTGGTCAGGTGTTGTATTCTCTTCCCTTGTCATTTCCTTTATCATTATTATTATTGGTGGTAGCAGTAGTGATCTGTGTTATACGTTAGATACTTAACTGTTCTTATCTCAACCCATGGGAGTTGCATTCTTTTGGATTCTCCTCTCTGTCCCTCCGGGAGTAGGGCGAGGGAAAGAAGTGGGGGAGTGAGTGAACGAGTTACCTGAGTTTAAACCACGACAATGTCTTTGAAAAGGTAACCTAAATTGTCATGAATTTTAGGCAGAATTATTCTCTTCAAATAATTTTGAATTGGGCAGTGAAAGCACTGAAAGTCCAAATTAGATTTTCTGAGAAGTGTTCAGATGCCAGACTGCTGACATTTTCAGTGGGGGGAGTTAGACACCGAAATATGTTTCAATAATCTGTTCCAGAAGCACACGTTCAAATTTTACTGTGCCTCTGAAAAATATTTGTGGTCATTAACTTAGTTATGCAGAATTTTCCTCTGTAAATCAAACCTTTCAACAGAGGAGGAACAAAAGCTGTGTATGTAGAGAGACATATTAATGAGTGACAGGATCAGTATCTGTGATGTTTTGATTACTTCTCAGTCTACAGGATTCATTTATAATTCTTTCAGAGTCCATAGTGAAATCATCACTGATTGCCTCTACTTAGTAACTGATTCATGCTCCAGCAATTCGGATAGCTTTAAGCATCGCCATGCAATTCTTAGCATCTACAGAACTATAAAGCTTGCTGGATTCAGGAGGGTTCAGTGGAGGTTTGCCATGGAACTATGGAAAAGGGCTTTTTTATTCTTTGGTCCTCTTTTCACAGAATACAGCACATAATTTGAAAGACAGTTTTGGCAATAGCATCATATCCGTAAATCGTGGGCATTGAATGCATGAAAGCTAAACATGAGATCACGCATATGGAAATGAAAAGGTGCATCACAGTGAGAGTCAAGAAGGCTGGAAAGGGGCTAAAGATGGATAAAGAATAGGGAATTATGGCAATGCATTGGGAGCTTGTGTTTTGATAGGACTAGTGCCATTCTGAAGGCATAATTACATCTGATACAGCTAGGAAGAGAAGAAGGTACTTCTCCAAGTAAACACATTTATTATAAAGATAAAAATGTGGGAAAGAGCAGTAAGTATCATTAAGATACTGGAAGCATTATTCAGTGAGAGAGATGAAAAATTCAAACTATTCAGTTTATTCAAGAAGAAGCTAAAATATTTGTTGGTCTCTGGTCCTCTGCTTTAGTCTTTGAGGGGGAAAAAAAAGCCTAGTGGATGTTTGGCAAGTTTTGACCAGAAAAATCCAATTTGTAAGAAAGATACGGCTTGCCATTGGTAAGAATAATTAACAGTTATAAAACTTTACTTGCAGAAGTTGTAGGTTCTCCATCACATCACATCTCTGAAGTGTTTCTGAAACATGGAATACCTCCACGTACAAGCTCCATAGAGAAACAGTTGTGTTGCAGAATGGCTCCTTCATGTTTATGAAGTATAGTTCTCTCCATTCTGCTACTGCTTAGGGCTCACCACTGCAGTTTGTTAGGATGCCTCGCCATGAAGAGCTTCTACTAATGGCTTCTTACGAATCTATGAAATACATGAGTTCTTTGACAAGCTTGGGTTAAAATTTGGGCAAACTGCTGTTGCTGTTTAAAAAGTGCCTGACAATCTCGTTTTCTTTGGGATGATTGTGGTAGATTCTTAGACATGAGAAACGTGATAGATCCAACAGCGCAGAGCACAGAGAGGAACTTTGTTAGAACAGAACGGTTACATAAAACTTCCTATAAAGGAAGGTAATGGGAGCCAGTAATCTTTTTCACCTAAAACAAGAGAAGGGAGCGCATGTGATTCTGTTTCCTGCTGAAATGGAGAAAACTGATACTCACAGTGGTGCTTGTGCTGCTTGTAGCTCCCACGTTGCTGATCAGTAAATGTGGAAAGCAAAAATAGATTAGTAACAGAACCACAGAACAAAGTTAATAAAACTGTCTTTTTGCTTGCTGGTTTTGCCTGGTACCTGCATCTTCCCTTAGGTTATTTGAATGGCTTGCATTGCAGGTGTAAGGATTTCACTTTCTCATGTTGTGCTTTAGATTCTTTATCTGTTTCAGTTCTTTTTCCCTAAATTTCTTTAATTCATTTCTATTTAAGTAACTTCTCTTTTGTTTAGTTGATGGATAAGAATAATGCTTCAGACAGTGTTGTGCTACTTAACAAGCTAATGCTAGAAATGCGTGTTTCGTTTTGGCCTATTTTCTGTCCCCCACACACCCACAATGGCTCCTCTGAGAACACCTCTTCTCTCATGAAGTTGCATGACAGAAAGGAAGGGTGGACTGTTGATTTCAGTCTGATCCCAGTGGAGCTAAACGGAACTAATTTTGTATCTCTCCTTCTCATTTAGGGAACTATTTTGGGTCAAAGGCGAGTGAGCCAAATGGATCCTTAGAATAATTGCTGCTATTGGAGCTGAGCTTTTTTATTCTTCAGAACAGGGATCTGAAAATTAGAGGGTTAGATAAAACCCAAGTTCTTCCTGCTTGGTGTATCAATATGGAGTGCAGAACCAGCAAAAAGAGGAATCGAAGTCCCTCTAGCTTCCTGCCACCATCACTCATGCTCCAGTCATTCCTCTTTGGTACTTGTGAAGCAAACTGATCCTTGCCCCCTTAATTGCTCCCTAGAAAAAGTGCACGTGAAAGGGATAGACAGACCTGGCTGCTGTGGAAGGAAGTAGTGAGTTTGTCAGTCTCTCGTCTGCTGAAGACACCTGATGATTTCATATACTGAAATGGGAATTTTACTCACTAGCTAATTTTCATAAGCGAGCCAGGATCCACACAGACCTACATAGCAAAGACCTGAAAAACATAAAATCCTCTTCACTTATTAACTAACATGCCGTAAATTCAAGAACGAAATTAAAATACAGGATCTGGTTTACCGCTTGAAGATGTTATTTGGGCTGTGGAAGAGGCTGTTAAAGATTGGCTAGCACCATCTGCTGGGCACTTTGCTTGGGCTGAGTGCTGCTCCAGAGTAAAGCAGAAATTGGTATTTAGAGCAATTTAATACTTTGGGCATGCAAAAAATGAAACCACAAAAAACCCAAAGAAGAAATAGTGATGAGAAAAGTGAGATACTCTTAGATCTGTCAGCAAACTGATGAATTTCTTGGTAAGAGCTCTGATTTTTCCCCTTGTGCATTGTGCAGGAAAGAGATAGTTCTCTGAATTCGAGTGACAAAATGCCAGTGACCAGCTCCAGTTGCTGAAAGATGTTTAGGCTGAAATTTATAAAGCAGAATTAAACATTTTAAAGACACTTGAAGCTATATATATGCTTTAGAGGGTCTTGTGGCATTAAATTAAGTGTATTATCTAATTAAGGCAAACTGAATATAACAAGGGGAGGAACATGTTTGGGTTCAGTAACACTGTTCAAAACAGGAAAAGGTTTCGGAATAGAGCTTGCTTTCTTGAAATAGGAGCATAACCACAAATCCTACTGGTGCTTTTTGTTGGTTGAATACAAAGGAATTCCTGTGACTTGAAAACGTTTTGCTATGACATACATCGTTATTGCCTGATGACAGGTCTCACATTTCCTCTTACACATTCCACTGAGGGTGGCTTCCCAAAGACAGCAAATGCAGGTAAGGCAGCTGCTGGTGTGATCCGGATGTCAGTGTTGATGGCCTCTTTGTATATAGATTTCATTTAAGTTAACTTATTAAGTGAGGTTACTTTCAGGTCTCTCTTCCAACTGGTGCCAAGAGAAGGGCACTGCAGTCTCACAGAAGGTGGTCAGACACCTCCAGATCAGTTGCCATTAAAAATTGCTTTGTATGTCATTGGGGTCGTTTGTTTATGCTCGTCCCTGCTCACAAGTGTTTTCTGCAATCCAAGAATTATAGAATCACAGAATGGTTTGGGTTGGAAGAGCCCTTAAAGCTCATCCAGTTCCAACCCCCTGCCATGGGCAGGGACACCTCCCATTAGACCAGTTTGCTTCAAGCCTTGTCCAATCTGGCCTTGAACACTGCCAGGGATGGCTGCTTCTCTGGGCAGCCTGTGCCAGTGCCTCACCATCCTTACAGGGAAGAATGTCTTCCTAAGATCTAATCTGAATCTAACCTGTTCTAGTTTAAAGGTATTCCCCATTGTTCGGTCACTACATGCCCTTGTAGAAAATTCCTCTCCAGATTTCTTGTAGGCCTACTTTAGGTATTGGAAGACTGTTACAGGTCTTCCCTGAGCTTTCTCCAGGTATGTTAATTTTGGTTAGGAAGGAACTGAATTAAATGGTTGGCTGATAGAAATGTTTTATGTGGTTCTGTGCTTTTCCAGTTGTATGGGAGGAGAGCACCCTGGGAGGATCCTGCCAAATGGGTGATGGACACTTACCCCTGGGCAGCCACCCCACAGCACCATGAGTGGCCTCCTCTGCTGCAGCTGCGGCCTGAAGATGTGGGCTTTGATGGCTACTCAGTGTCACGGGAAGGCTCAACTAGCAAACAAGTTCCAGTAAGCGATGCTGAAGGAGATCCTTTGGTAAGCTCTCTCATTTCTGAAATGGCAGAACTGCTTCATTTCCCTTGTTTCTAGGGATTAGAAACAGGAATGAGAAAGTAAAGGACAGCTGAGGAGTGATTAAAAGCTTTAGAATGATAAAGCAGTGTTTCTAGAGAAGTCATCAAGTGAACTCTCAGAATGAATTTGCATGGAAAGCCAGTTCAGTTTTGCAAGAAATGGAGGAAGAAGTTTTTCACATTCAGTTATGGAGGTTACTTTGAGGACTCATTTTTTGAGGAGTGACTGAAGGTGACTGTAATAAACTTAATTCCTACCGTGTGGAATTAAGTATGTGATCTTGTTACACATACTTGAATAGCACAGTGGATCCTTTTCATTTAGCCTGTTTTGCCACAATTGCAAAATAGGCTTGTTGCTTTCATTCATGTGGCTTTGAGAGCTGTATTCTTGACACCAAATGAAAACTGAGATTTTCAAAGAATACATGAACTAATTTATGAATCAGAAATACCACACAAGAATGTAGAAAAATGTTAACATGTAATTGTATAGAAAGTATAAACTGAGCTTGGAGGTAACACTGGATGTACATTTTCTTCCAGTGGGGAACAGCTACTGAAGCTGCTGTGCCAGCTGAACACCCTGAAACTGTTCTGTTGAGGTGTTCATTTTTCTGGGCAGTTGGTAGTATAGAAATGTGTGTTCCGGTTTTTACCAGCTCATATATACATACGCAAACATTGAGCTAGGTATTAGGATGTTTAGATTTGCTTCATTTGACTGATCTGTCTATATTTCCGTGGGTCAGAGGAAGAGAGGGGTAGGATGCTTGTCAAATACAGCTGTCAAGTAACCCCTTCAATCTTCTCATTTTTGCCTTCACTGGAACAGCAGTCTTTATGACTAACTTCCTGGCTGCCATAAGACAATTTACAGTTAATACCTCTCTTCAGAGTCTCATTATCAGTTATGCTGCTTGTTTCTTCCTTTCGTTTGTTTTACCCACTGGCAAAGTGAGTGCCACTGGGACTTTCATATGGAGTTGATATTCTGTCTACCTCAGAATACAGATAACGTGATGACCTGTGCCTTTGCAGATGAACATGCTAATGAGACTGCAAGAAGCAGCCAACTACTCAAGTCCTCAGAGTTACGATAGTGACTCTAACAGCAACAGCCATCACGATGACATCCTTGATTCATCTCTGGAGTCAACGTTGTGATTTTCCTCGGATAGAAAGAGGTGGTTCCCGTTATCGCTCTCCCACTTAGCAAGAGTCCTGCTCACAGACTCAAGGACACATTCCTGGGCTGGGATCTCAGTGTTAGAGCTGCAAGAACAAGACACTTGGAATCAGTCTTGAACCTGGGTGCAGGCAACCCAAGCAACCTTTGTATTCTTTTTTCTTTTGAGAACTGCACTAATTACTTTGTTTTCTTCTGTTTAGTTGCTGTAAGCTCTCATACCTAAGATACTGAAGATGTTAAAAGTAATCATAATTACTAAAAGTTGAAGGGGCAGGAGGGGGAACTTCACAGCTATGAAGCAAACAACTTTGTGCCATGTACTGTCCGGAAGGAGAGGGGAGAGGAAATATTTGCCTATGCTTCTTCTGACCAAACACATTTAGGTGAGGGCTGGACTTTTACCAACCAGCTTTGTAGATTAAACTCAGCTTCATAGAGTTCTGGTGCTATAACAGTATCACTTGCCTTGAAAATAACACTCAATAAAGGCAAAGCTGCAAAACAGGGAAGTTTGAATAAATATAAAAAAAGAGAAAAGGAAAAAAAAAAAAAAGGAAAAGCGCTGCTCTCCTTGCCAGTCTGAGACCTTGGCTCTCTTTCATTGTGTGTTTATAGATATATATATATATATATAGGAATATATAAAAATATATATACAGTCTGAACAAATCAGGTTTTTTCCAACACTGTGTAACAATCAGTCCAACCACAAGTGACAAATCAGGTAGCCCTTTGCTAGTTAAGGCCTGATTCTCTTCCATTTACATCCACGTAACCGTCTCAGTTGACTTCAGTGGCATTCGCAGTCCTGGGGTAAAGTTGGACTTGATGATCTTAAAAGTCTTTTCCAACCTAGTTGATTCTGTGATTCTATTACACTGATGTATTCACACTGAGGTGAGGGAGTTTCCCTCCCCTGTGGAAGTCAGTGCAAAAGGTCCATGCCCCGTGAAGTCCTACAGCTCTGAAGGACCTTTGGTGAGTCCTGTACACAGAGGTGAGCTACACCCCTGGAAATTGATTGATCGGACTCTCAGTTGTGAATTCTTGCCATGAAATGTTACAGCTGTTTAATAAAAACTTGAGGTTTTGTTCAGAGGTTTCGTTACAATCAGCACAAACATATAAATGGGTTAGTTAAAACTCAGCTCTGTAACAGTTCCAGTGCTACTCTGGTGAAAACATCTGTGATTTTTCTTTTAAATTAAAAACTATAATAGGATTTTAGCAGTATTCAGGTCTGGAAACCAAGGAGGGAAGGTACTTTTAAGTTCAGCTGGGCCATGCTTTTGAGTTTTGGCAGAGCCGTGAACCTGGTTTTCTTTCTCCTCTGAACGCACACAACTATGCTATCGGTGTTCAGGCTGGTACTTCTGTTTTGGGAACAAGAACACCTCCCAAAGAATTGCACTTTCCTTTTGATGGCAGCAAAAGCTTACACCACCATCACCACAGCATCAGCTGTACCTCAGCAAAAACACCACTCCTCAGTATGGGTTTGTACAAGCCTTTACAGCTATCTTTTGGTGCTGATTTTTAAAGCAATGCCTTATTTTGTACTAATTGTGTTTGATTAAATTAGTGCTGTATATGACAGGGTTTTATTTAAAGAAACAGGGCTAAAGTCATCTCTTGGAATATCATAAGTTGCTGTGAATATTGTTTGTAAGAGATACTAGATTTTGTTTTAATGTGGCAAAAAAAAAAAGGAAGGAAATGAGAGAATGTTTCAGGTCCATATCAATCTGCAGCTGATAAATCACTGAAGAGCTGTTTTATCCATGCAGGGGGTGGGGGGGAGCTTTTCAACTGAAATAAATGCTGTCACTAATAAATTACAGGAATATGCTGGGGTTTCGATGTACAGAAAGAAAACTTACTACAAACATTTTTTTTTAAGAGCTTGTGGGTTTAAAGTAACAGACAAGTTCATGCTTCTGTGACTCAGCTTGAGAGGATCATTTTATTATACCTCATGACTTACTGTAACATAACTGTACTTTGTCTTACTGAGCTGGTCTTGAATCTGCTCCTGTTACAACTTTTAAGTGCTGATGACTTTTTTTGTTTTTAAAGAAAAATATTTTAAAAGAAAAATTTAAATATTTTAATGATGGGGGTGGGGGAAGAGCTTGGTGTTGTTACTGTTTTAACTCTACAAACTCTTATTTCATTATTTCACTGAATGAAATACCAAGGCTTATTCAGTCGATGTTTCTCATCCAGTTCTTGGTACTGTAAAAATGGGATAAATCTGTATGAAATCACATAGCATGCTGATGATGAGTTTGAGAGAGGTGAATTTTTCCGGCAGTCTTGACAATTCTGCTTCCTAGCACTGACTTTACCTGCTACTACTGTGAATTTCAGTACCTAATCCCCCAACTGAATCCATGCAGACAGAGCATGTGCCTGTAAAAAAAAAAAAAAAAAAAAAAAAAAAACAACAACAAAAAATCCAGTTGCAGGGCTAGGGCTTTAAATGGAGTTGATATCGTAGAAGATGGCTCAGTTAACCTTTAACTGGATGCTGTAAGACATGTTTAAAATGATGTTTTATTTGTGGGAAACGGGGTATTTTTGTTTTTCTCATTTTTAATCCTGTGCTTAAGCTCAGGAAGGAATTTATGTTCTTATTTTTTGTTGACCCTAGCTTGGATTACAGTGAGAGGCAGTTTGGATTAGGCTAGTCATTCTAAGCATCACAATATTCAGTGTCTCTCCTGAAACTTCAGGAAGCAGGGTTACCTGTTGTGCACACGTCTTAGTTTTTATCAAGCCTCTCCATAGATTTAAGTCTTTCTTTAAGTGACTTTGTTCTTGTTTAAGGCTTTTTCGAAACACTTCCTTATGTTTTTGCCTTTTTGTTTCTTACAAAGTTGGCTTGTGTAAAAATAAAAAATCAACAAGGAAGAAATGTAAAATTCTATGCAACATTCGTGTTGAGTTATAAATTGAAAGTAGAAAACCATTTTCTTCAGAACTGCCAAGAATGATAACAGGCCATAAATGAGATGTGGTTTATTTGGGGCAGGGGAGGGAGGGGGTTGGTTAGCCTTTTTGTACATTTTGGAAGAAGCAAACTGCTGTTTCATTGTTGATGCTTAACTTCGGTATTATGTGTATGAAATCTTGTCTAAATGTGGCCAAGGAAAAAAAACTGCAAAAAGAAAGCAAAAAAAAAAAAACACTTTGTTGCTATTCAATGGAAGGTTGCTGTTTTGATCTAGTTGTTTCCAGTGGAACAGTTTATGAAATATGTTCTATAAGATGTACATTTTTTCATTGTAACATAGAAATGTAAATATTTGATTAAAAGTGCTGCATTTTGATGAATTTTTTCTAGCCATTTTTAAAGAGAAAAAACTAGGAATTGAGTATTTTGTGTATGTTTATGATGTTTTCCATTTGCTCTTCTCCCTATTTAATTTTCAGTTCTCATTTAGGATTGGAATTTGTGAATGGTCTGTTTGAGATCATGCTTCCCCTTTCTCACCCTCCCCGTTTCTCCCCCTTCCTCACCCCCTGTGTCATGGAGAATAAAGCTGATGATTGTACCAGTCTTAAATTATTCATGATTCAATAAATTTGATGCTTATTTATTCAGATTTGTGGCTTCCCCGAACTCTTAATCAGCATTTTCTGGGGTTTTTGTTTGAAGATTTTGAGGTTCACTTTGCTGTTATTGGCTTCCTGTAAGTACTTGTGGAAAGATGCCAACCGCATCCAGGAGAAAATTTAGCGGAGGGACTACACCACTGCAATTCTCTTGCCCGTAGCTAATGTTTGCACACATCAAGATCTGCTCAAGACAAGACTGGTCTATCCATTTAGAGTGTCTCAGCATAAGGCTCAAAGTCAAACAGGACGTGGCCATCAGAATGTACCCTGATACCAGCTGGTTCTAGCTTCTTCAAGACAAGTCGCTGTAGCTTACAGGGACTGCAGGTGCAGTGTGTGTCAGGCCTAGTCTGAACATACTTTTCCAGAATGGCCTTTACAGAATCACAGACTGGTTTGGGTTGGAAGGGAGCTTAAAGCTCATCAAATTCCAACACCCTGCCATGGGCAGGGACACCTTCCACTAGAACAGGTTGCTGCAAGCCACATACAACCTGGCCTTGGACACTGCCAGGGATGGGACCTTCTCGCAGTACTTAATTTGGTGACCCTGGGCAGATCAGACTTGTCACTTAGAATAAAGCCATCACATATTTTCATTTGCAGAAAAAAAAAATGACAAAATTTTCCTGGTAACTTTGCGAAAGCAGAGTATTTGTTGGCATCACTTGGATCTCCAAGAAGAGGTCTAGCATAAGTATGAGACCATCTTACAAGTCTTCACTTGCTCTGGTAGATCTTTCAAACTTTTTATTCTCTTCTTTAGGGAGTTGATTTAAAGGAAACTTAAGGGCATTAAGCAATTCTGTTTACAGACTCAATAGAATGGTTTGCGTCAGAAGGGACCTTCAAAGCTCATCTGGTCTTAACACCTGTGCAACTAGTCTAACATCTTCAACTGGATCAGGTTGCTCTGAGCCCTATCCGGCCTGGCCTTGAATGTTTCTAGGGATGGAGCATCGGCATCTGCAGCTTTTCTGGGCAACCTGTACATTTCACGCTTTATTACAGTTTCCACTTCACCTTGTTGATAGAGACAACTATGATACATGGTGATAAATTCACAGTGACCAGTAGGAAAAGTAGGGGTCTGTTGTCCTTTCTTTCAAATAAAGAATCTTAACTGCAAAAAAAAAAGTACTGTCTTCAGAAAGGATAAATCCAGACCCTTCTGCACTTAAAATGAATAATTCCTAAAAGTAGTTTTTGGTTTTTGGGGTTGTGGTTTTTTTTTTAATTCATATTTTCTATTCATATTTCTGCTTTTGTTCTGGTCAGTCTTTTTAACTGTTCCTTGTTGGTATGTGTCCTCTACTTACTGATATAAAATGTTAATGTTGGTAAGACAGATCCACCTGTATCAAAGACAGTTTTAAAAGATTCTCTGTAAATTGATGATCTGCACTCAGTTGAACCTAAAAATAGTCTTCTTTCAACAACGCAGCAGTGCAAAGTTACTTCAGAGGGGCTTCATCTGTCCCTCCACAATAATTTGCCAGAGGCAAATAGTTTTGAAAATGTTCATGCAGATTTGTCTGTGTTGTGTAAACTTCCTTTGATTCACAGGGTTGCATGTTTTAGAAATGGCCCTGGAAAATGCTCCAGCCCTGATCTTGAACAATGTTTGAATCAGCGCTGGACTGGCACCAAAATGCTTACTATCTCCCGGGAAGTCTTCTTCCCTTTCTTCTTTCTGGCTGCCCCGTCCATTCCCCATGTTCTTGTTCTTCTGTGTGCACTGTCTTGCACGCTCCTCTTCACATTTGTTTTTTTCCTTTGCATCATCTTGTCTTTAACCTTTATTACCCTGCTTTTCTGTTTCCAGCATCCTATTTTATTCTTATTTTGTATCCTTCCTGGATCCACCTCATAATTTCTAAGAGCTGTTGGATCAGTGCTGACTTCTTTTCCGCAACAGAAAGGGAAATTCCTTGGAGTCACTTATGAACTCGGGCACAGCCTGTGACGTGTACTTCCACCCTTCGCTGTCCGCTGACCTTTTCCAAGAAGTTACTTCAAGAACCAGAGAGGAAATGCCTCCTGACACCCTTAAAGTTCCCATTCTCTCTTCTGCACTTTCTGTGCACAGTCTCATTTTACCACTTTATTAACATTAACGATTCTGATATTAATCTCTATGTTAACTGTAATAACTGAGTGCTTAGGGTATGGAAACACGTACTCATCATTAGTTTCTAGCTTTTAATGCGGACAGTCAATCTGATTCTCTCTGCTTCTGCTCTACAGTGTAGAAGAAGACTTTTGTGAGAGAACTGAGCACAGCAGCTGAGGATAACTCATTTCTGCCATTGGCAGAAGGACTGACTGTTGGCAAATCCTTCCCCATCAACATCTCTGTTTGCTTAGCCACATAGAGAAATCCATGTTCTTCTCTCCTTTCTTGATCATAGAATCATACAGTAGGAGAGACCTTTAAAGATGGTCTAGTCCAGCCCCTTTGTGATGAGCAGGGACATCTTCAACTAGACCAGATTGCTCAGATACACAAATACTTCTGATTTTCTCAATTGCTGGAGACACAAGGAGACTGAGTTACTTACAAGGGGTGGAGACCATGCTCTGGCTAAGCATCTGTAATTCTGCCTCCTGCTCCTATAAGATGTTCACCCATGCAGGACTGGGCAATTAGGAGGTGTGAATGACCTTAACATGAGATGGGATCCACAGGCAGTTGGGAAGAGGTTGTGCTTCCAGTGAGGTTTTGTAGTAATCCTGCCTCAAAGACCACTGTACATCAAGGAGTTGGTGATCCTCGTCACAGTTAACTTGAGTATGCCCAGGCCTATGCTGTGCCCTATGCTGCAAGAACAGCCTTGCCTTCAGACTGGTGTTGTGCTGCACAGATCCCTTGTCCCTAAGACAATGGACAATGTGTTGCCCATGCAAACCTCATGAGGTTCAACGGGGCCAAGTGGAGGGTCATACATGTGGGTTGGGGCAGCCCCCAGTCTCAATACAGGCTGGAGAAAAGCAGTTGAGAGTAGCCCTGAAAAAGACCTGGGGATACTGGTGGGTGAAAGACTGGGTCTGAGCAGGCAATGTGTGCTTGTGGCCCAGAAGGACATTCATATATCAGGCTGCATCCAAAGGAGTGTGGCCAGCAGGTCAGGGGAGGTGATTCCGCCCTTCTTCTCTGCTCTGGTGAGATCCCCCCTGCAGTCCTGCATCCAGCTCTGGAGTCCTCAGGACAGGAAAGACATGGACCTACTGGAGAGGGCCCAGAGGAGGGCCACAGAAATTGTCAGAGGGATGGAGCACCTCTGCTATGAGGAATAGCTGAGAGAATTGGGGTTGTTCAGCCTGGAGAAGCAAAGGCTCCAGTGAGACCTTATTGTGGCCTTTCAGTTCTTTAAAGGGACCTATAAGAAAGAGGCATTCAAGGCCAGGCTGGATGTGGTTCTGAGCAACCTGAACTAGTTTGAGATGTCCCTGCTCATTGCAGGGGGGTTGGACTGCATGAGCTTTGAAGGTCCCTTCCAACCCAATCTATTCTATGATTCTATGATAAACTCAGCCAGCCCATACTAGCAAAGGAGCCTGAAAGCATCTCCTGCTGAGTACCAGCCACCAGCATCTCCTGCTGAGTACCAGCCACCTGTGTGTCCTTGCCCTCATCTAACCATACAGCCAGACGTTCTCATGAGTACATCCTTTCTGTTTAACAGCAAAAATGTTGAATAGAGTTGTTTTGTTGTATGTGGAGTGGAGGCCACTTTGATGCTGCACCACTTGAGACTCCCACCATCTAAGGATACATAAAATTATCTCTGCTATTCTCATCTTACAGTGTTTGCTCTAACAAATAGCACTTTGATACCTTATTGAGTCCAAGTGCCTTTCTTACAAGGATCATAATGAGCTAGCACCAACCGGTGCAAAATAGATGTTAGGACACCAAGCCCAAAACCAGTGAGGGAAGAACAACCTCATAAGCTTGGGTCTGGGTGAGCTACTAAACCTCATCCACAGCAGTAACTCTGGCAATGTCATTCCACCATTTTCAGCTTCCTGCTCTTTGCCCAGTCCCCTTACCATCAATCTATTTCTGCACAGCAGTGCCATCAGGTTTCCTGAAGGCATTGAGGACTGCTTCATAGAATCATGGAATCACCCAGGTTGGAAAAGACCCCTAAGATCATCAAGCCCAACCATTCCCCAGCACTGCCAAAGTCACCACTAAACCATGGCACTGGGGGCTTTGTCTACACAGCTTGTGAACACTTCCAGGGACGGTGACTCCACCACTGCCCTGGGCGGCCTGTTCCAATGCTTGAACACCCTCTCCGGGAAGAAACTGTTCCTAATCTCCAGTCTAAACCGTCCCAGGCACAGCTTGAGGCTGTTTCCTCTTGTCCTGTCACTTGTTCGTTGAGAGAACAAATCAAGAAAACAGATAAGGTTTCTGCTCTTCACACTGATCATTTCAGGCCCAGCTATGTGCCAGTGCATGTGCGTGGATCAGGGAGGAGAAGAGGCAATACAACCAGGAGGAAGACTCTGCCTTGTTCCTCTTGACAACAGTAGAGCCCATAGCTGTTGTGTCAAACTCTCCCTGAAACTTTCCAGGCAAAGATCTTTAAATACCATCAGTGGTTTTCAGGCCTGAATTTGAGTGTCTTTGTAGAAGTCTCTTGTATTGAAACAACAGGATTAGAGCTGGGTCACTAGAGGACAGAGCCACAGGCTCGATGGAGCTCATCCAGAGAAGGGCAATGGAGTTGTTGAAGGGCCTGGAGCACAAGTGTGATGAGGAATGGCTGAGGGACCGGGGGAGGGTTAGTCTGGAGAAGAGAAGGCTCAGGGGGGACCTTATCACTCTCTGCAATGGCTTGAAAGGATGGATGGATGGAGCCAGGAGGGGACTGGTCTCTACTCCCAAGGAACAAGGAAAGAGTAAACTTCCTCAAGCTGCACCGGGGAGGTTTAGACTGGATATTAGGAATAATTTCTTCCCTGAGAGAGTGTTCAGGCACTGGAACAGGCTGCCCAGGGCAGTGGTGGAGTCACCATCCCTGGAAGTGTTCACAAACCATGTAGACAAAGCCCTCAGTGACATAGTTTAGTGGTGACCTAGGCAGTGCTGGGGGAACGGTTGGACTTGGTCATCTTAAAGGTCTTTTCTAACCTGGCTGATTCCATGATTCAGTGAAGTCTGGTTTTCCTTAGGGTGACGGTTTAGCACTGGTGGGGGTTTAGCGCTTCATGAGCCTCACTGATTGCTTCTGGGAACTACAGCCTTGCATCTTGGGCGGTATTTATTTAAGGTGATCTTCACGTTCAAAATTCCATGGAGGGCATGTGTTCTTCAAAAGAGGCAATTTGTTTTTTTCTCCTCTTTTTGGCTCAACTGTGGTGTTCCCAAGCTCTATGGTACCAAAATGTAGGGTGGCTGGAGAGGACTTTTTGTTAGGAAAGATTATTTCATACAGATGGGATAAACATTCTTTGCTCCATATGGTATTAACCTTTGGGGCTTATTAGATGATTTCCACACCTATGGATAAGTGTTTCTTCCATGGGCATATGGCAGTATTAGCACAGTGCTCCTGGTATGGGGCTGTGTAGGAAGCTGCCTGCCTTGTCTGCCATGGTTTTGGCACAGGTGAAAACACTTCCAGCTCTCCCAGTTGTGTGGGACACTGGTTGAGCAGCCTTTGAGCTAAGGAAGGGACTAGAGGGGCTGGGGCTGTCATACAGCAGATAACAACACTACAGGCTCCCTGAGAAAGGGATTTTTCTTCTTCTGCTGTCCAAAAGCTTCTCTTCCATGCTGGAGAAGATCAGAGTTCCAGCAGGTACAGATGTTGAACCAGCTGGTTTCTTAAGGGGTAAAATAACGCTTCTAGTCTTCAAACTGCAGCATCTGAGAAGGGTGATGCAGGCCAATTGTCCACACTCTGACCACCCTGGACAATAATTGGAAGGAAGAAGGAGAGTCAGAAAGGCTTTAGAGGGGAGCACAAGACAGCATCAGCAGAAATCAAGTTGCATTTAAATGCAAGGAGGGGAAGCTGTACTCATTTTAACTGTAGAAAGTCTATACTTGGGTCAAGTTGCTTCCTAGTTAAAAGGCAGATAGATGTTCTTGTAAGGTTATTTAATTTGAAGCTGTTAGATTCTTATTGAATCACTATACTGTTGATAAAAGGTAGTTGTCTTTTCCTTCCCTGTTTGGCCCCAGACAACTTACAACAACCTGTAAACTAGAAGCAAGTATTACTGAATTATCAAATTTAGAAATCTACTTTTTGTTTTTATTTGACAATCATTCACTTTATTATATATTTAAAGTCTGTACATGGTAAAATACAAAATAAAAGCATTTCTTTATAAGTTACACAATCAAACAGCTACATTTGTCTGTAGTTTAGCTGTCAGAGAAGCCTTGTTGAGCTGTCATTATATTCATTCACAATAACCTTGGTATAAAACATCCATACAGAGTAAGTGTACAAAATAGTGTACAGTTCATATAAGCTGTGCAAAGACAGCAAAGTTCAGTCAAAAATCAAAGAGGCATATCCACTTTTCTCTGTCCACACCATGGATAGCAGAAGCAAAGTGGAAAATAAGCAAAAGCCTGGGGGGGGATGAAAAGGTGGGTTAGACAGTGCTTGGGATGTAGTATCAATGTATAAATTACAATGAAAAATATATAAATAGATAAGGCTTCCATTATACAAGGCACGCTTAGATTACACCTTAGAAGTTATTCCAGGGGTTTTAATGGGTCTGTTGGACAAGTATATTGGGGGAGAGAAGGGAAGCAGTGTTTGATTTGTGTCCCCCTGTGTTTACTTTGAGGGAGGGTTGCGACATCAGACCAGTCCCTGGGTCTTTGAAATCTTAATAGTAGTTGGAAATTCACTTGAAAGGCAGTAAAAATGGCCACAACATCTATATTGTATTTTTTGTTGTTTCTTATCTGAGGGGAGCAGGGAGTTTCCCTCCCAAAAGGCTACACTTTCCTCCCTGCCATGAAGCAAGGAGCTGCTGATGCCTGGTTTGGGGAGAAGGGTTATTGAGCATATGTTGATTATAAAGCAGCCAGCGTTATAAAAATGGTAGCAGATGTTATGAATATGATAACCTCCACATGGGGCAAAGAGTAAGGAATACCCATAAGTAGGAAGTCTTGCAGCTATGTGATAAAGAACCTGCACTGGTGAAGCATGTGGACGATTGGGTGGGACATCACCTCTTCAATTTATAGCACTTGATTTTATTCAAATCTTTGCAATGACCACATGTGATGGTTGGGGCAAGCAGGTGATTTAAGAGACTGTTATCTCCTCTTCTTCCACTTCGCCTTCATCATCCTCTTCCTCTGAGTCTGAGAAGTCTGAAGGTTTGCTGGGACTGCTAGAATGGGATGGAGAAGGAGACATGTGGGAGTCCAGTCTGTCCCTCAAGTGTAGATGTTCTGGGGACTGGTGGTAGCTTAAGGGATGCTGGGGGCTGGGTGAGCACACAGGGAGAACTTCTTCTTCCTCTTCCTCCTCTCCTGAACATTTCTTGCCTACATCACTGAGGTCTGGGTGAGGGTTGAACTTGGTAGGTAGGGTCTGCTCTCTGCAGCCACCAGAAGATAGGAGCTCTCTTTCTTTGGAGTTCCTCCACTTCATCCTCCTGTTCTGGAACCAGATCTTCACCTGAGGGATGAAGTGACACAGGAATGAAACAGTTCAGTGAAACAGGATCCAAAAAAAGGCCTTTGGTTGCCCCCTCAATACTGTGCTCATGCCCATACTGAAGCTAGCAGGAATGACAGATCCTGACCTTTTGGGACCCTAGGAGATTGGTCAGGGTAGGTAACAATACCACGGTCTGTCCTGTCCTAATCAGCCAGCTGGGAATTTTGCAGCTGTTTTGGCTCTGTTGATGCTCATGGCTCTGCAACTTGCTTTGTGCTTTCTCCTGGTCACGGACAGTTCTCCCTGCTCCCATCCCCTTCTCCCAAGCTGATCCCCGGGGTGGAGAATCCAGCTCCCCACTTCATACCCCCCTCACCTGTGAGTCCTTGAGCCCCAGCTTGGCTGCCAGCTTCTTCCTGTCAGGTTTGCTGATGTACTTCTGCTTCTGGAACATCTTCTCCAGTGCCTTGCGCTGCACGTCGGAGAAGACAGCTCGACGTAGCATGCCCCGCCGGGGTTTGCCACGGGCGGCCAGTGGCCAGGAGAAGGTGCCGGGGATGGGGACCACGGTGGAGGCAGCTGCTGAAGGTGGGGGACACACAGCACTGAGCAGAGCAAGACCAGCCCCCCACTGCCCCCTCCCTGCCCTTTGGGAGGGCAGCCATCAACCTGGGGCTGTGAAAAGGAGCTTTAGTCTTAACTAAGCACCCCCTTTCAGCCAGTGATTGCTGGGATTAGATTTATGAACTCAAATGTGTAAAATGGATCAATAGTGGCTGGTTTTGTTGAGAGATTCAAAGGTCTCTGGCCTGAAAAGGCAAAGTGAGGCGTACCAGCTAAGATAGAGGTATAATAAAACATCTTTCCCTCCTGCTCAGAAGCATTGGATTATTTTTTTTTCAGGCCCTTTTATTTCAGATTCTTTATTATGCTCGAGATGAAAATGAGGACTTTTCTGATTCCGAACAAAACCGTTCCTCTTCAGATGCAGTTTTGATCAATCAGTATTCATCTTTTTATATTAATCTCTTCTCCCCTCCTCCCTCCCCCAAAGTTGGAGAATTGAATCAGAAGACATGAAAAGTAACAGCTAATTAGCACATTGCCTGGTTCCCAATGGCATTGGTATGATAAAAAGGGCAGAGTTTCGTCTTAAAAAAAAAGGGGAGGTGGGGGGATGGGGGGGGGGGGAACCTCCCCAAGAGAAACAGAGACGCTAATGAAGCGTGAATGGTAATTGTGTAGTAATGAACTAACAGAAAAAGACTGAGGACAAGCAGCTAACGCCATATATTACTGGAACAAAAGAGATTTACACTTTCAAACTAAACACAACGGCATGCCAGGCTCCTCGGGAGAATACTGATGGCACAATCGTCTCTTTCCTCAAATCATTTTCATTAAATGGACATGAAAAGCTATTTATAAAGCTCAAGTTGTTTTTGTTAGGCTATTCACATGCTGGAGAAAGGAAGCAAATTCCATTATCCGGAGGATGAATGGAAGAGCTTGAGTTATTTTTTTTCCCTCCCCCTGTTTTCTTTTTTAAATTAATAGCTTGTTTTTGTAATTAGATTTTATTTTAATTGCTCTCTCGGCATCATAACACTTCAACGCTGTAAGAACCTCAGACACCCCCACCCACCCAGCCATAGCTTGCTTTCTCTCAGGTACCAAGCCGTTTGAACACGGCGGACGGGCTGAGGGAGAAGCGATGAAGTGAGGTAAAGGAGGGAAGGGTTAGCCCGCGGTGAAGACGGAGGAGAGAAGCCTTAACAGTGAGCTCCATGCCCCTGTAACCGCCACCAACCCGGCGGGGGATAAAGGGTTTGGGATGGTTCTAGGGAGGTACAGGGCGGGGAGCGGCTGACGGGGAACGAGGAGTGCAACCCCGCCAACACCCCCCCCTACCTCCTGCCACCCCTCCGCCGGCTCGGAGCCGGGGCCCGGGCCGCTGCGCGAGTGGGGAGCGCAGCAGGGAGCTGACCGGTCCCTCGTGGTGCTGAAAGCGGCGGCGCGGCCCCGGGAGGAGGAGGAAGCAGTGGAGCCTCGTCGCCTCGGGACCGTGACAATCCTGGTTAATTTGCCCGTCAGCGGGCGGAGCGGGCAGGGGAATGTCAAGCAGTCACTGCCTATGCTAAATCGGGCATCAAATTGGCGCGCCTGACGGGTGAATGTTGTACTCCTTCCAACCTCTGACTAGAGCGTAATCCCCGGGGGGGACACGGACTGATGGAGAAATATCATCGAGCTGTGCCCGGGAGGGGAGAAGGGGGGTCCACCCTTTCAAAGAGAGACTTTTAAAGACCTACCTGGGAAATAGGAAGATCGGATAAAGGGCTGGAAGGATCCTTCAAAGTACGGGAAGGAAAAAGTCTTTGGAGGGACGCTCTGGAGCAACGCAGGAGAAGTTTCTACTAAATAAAAGAAATTAAGCAGAAGGTTACCACCGGCTGGAGTGGGTACGGTTGGGGTTGTCACTTGGTCTGGGGACAGATGCAGGTGGTGATTTTCAGTCCCCCAAAATAAAGAGCCAGACTGAGCCCTGGGGAAAGCAGTGCTTTTGCTGCGATGGTTATGCCAGCAAAGAGGCACCCGAGAGGGCAGAGTCGGTCGGGAGCCCTGTTGACACCCCCGGTGTCTGCCCCCCACCTGCCCGCTCCTCTCGTCCGACCGATCGGCCGTCTGTCAGCGCTGCCCCTAGTTCTTAAATACGGGCGATGCAGAGGGGCTGTGCTCGGTCCTCCCCTCCCTTCCTACCCTTGTCTTCCTGCTCTCCCGCAGGCGGTGGGTTCCGCGGAGCCGCGGGGATGGGAATGGGGGAGTCCGGGAGCCGCTTACCGGCGCGGGGAGCAGAGGAGAGGATGGCGTTGACTCCAAACTTGAGGAAAGTGGAGTCGCTGCTGGAAGTCTGTGGCGAGCAGATCCTCCTGGAGCCGGCGGCTGGGTTGGTCAGCTCCGGAGTGCCCGAGTCCGTCCTGGCCGCCGCGGCGGGGGGGGACATGCTGGCAGGGGGAGCAGTCCTGGTGGGCAGGTAGCTGGTGGGCCTGCTGATCCGGATCAAATCTTCTATCAGGAAGCTGGAATGGCTGGAAAAAGCGGACTGCAGCGACTGCGGCAGGGTGAGGGTTGGGGTCGGCCGGAGGAGGCTGGGGTACACGGCCGGTGGAGCGATGAGGCTAGGGAACATCATCACCGGGGCCGTCCGCGGAGCGGGGTCGGGGCCTCTCCCCTGTTTGTTTATTTGTCTGTCTGCTTTTTGTTTTCTGCTTTGAAACCCCTTCTAGTAAAGATCCTGCTACAGCGAGCCTGTCGGGGTTCTCTCTGCCCCTTCCTCCTGGACGGTGGGTTTTATACTGGTCAGCCCCGCTGGGGCTCTTTCAAAAGTGACAGCCCCAACAATGGGGTTCAACAAAGTTCTCCACTTGAGCTTCATTCAGGGTGAGCTCCGGGCTTCTCCATTGGTCCGGGACTGCAATTTATGATTGGATTAGACTTCATAAGCAACCGGGGCACAATGGCCCCGCCACAAAGAAAGTGTAGTCATCAATTTTGCATATTGACCGCCTCTTTGGAATACAGCTCCAAAGGCTCCCAGCAGGGTTTTGTTCAGAGGCAACACACACAGGCTAATTAAATGCCTATTTAAAAGTTTCGAATGACATCTTGCCTCTTAGAAAGGGAATTATTTAAAGAAAGCACTAAATTTATTTGCGGCTCCCCTGCTGAGTTTAGGAAATAAATCAATAAATATTCATATAAACTTATCTGCCGGCCCTCAGAAAAGCGCGGGGCTTGTGCAATAGAAAATATAAATTAGAAAACGTGGAACTAAGCCCTTTTGGGGGGGCAATATTCGGGGAGCGGATCCTACCGTGGGTTGAATGTGTCCTGTGCTTGCTACTAGTGCACTGCAAAATTTGTGCTTGTAGTCTGGGTTATTTTTCTATCTGCATCCCAAAGGTCCGGTATAAAGCGAATTTGGGTGTTAAGTTTTACTTTGAAGATCGTGGTGTCCTAAGATACTTGCGTGCGTGTGCTCAAGTGAGAGGCTTGCCTGTATCGAACTGAAATATAAACCTTACTGCAGCTGGGTAAGGACTCTGCTCCGAGAAAATCTAAACCTTGAACACAGAAAAGATCTGAAGAGCTTTGTGGGACTACAGCAGCCCCCTCAGTTCTGTCTGTTGGTCCTTTTAACCTGAAATATAGTGGAAATCCCTCCCCTCACACCGTGAAAATTAAGACACTGTTGTAGCATTTGCATCCTTTAGGGTAAAGCAGCCTGAACTAGTCTCGGGTTTATTGGTGATGGTGGCTCGAAGCCTTCTCGACGCTGCCAAATTCACCTGAAGTCGCTTTTTCTCTGCGTGCTTGTGCGGGATTGCGGGGGGTGCGTTCAGATCGGTGCTGCCGAGAACCTAAACTTTGGTATGGGAGCCAAATGACATCGTCTTACCGGAAAAATAGAAAATAGTTTGGGTTTTGTTTGGTTGGATTTTTTTCTTTTTTTTTAATGTCTGAGGTTTTGTTTGTAGTGGCAAATACGGAAACAGGCGCGTTTCCTTTGGAACTGGGTGATGAAAGCAACTATTGAGAGTGGCTTTACCTGATTTCTCTGTTAAAGCTCATAACAGATGTGTTAAATGTCCTATGTTTTAAAAGCGCCTTATTCAGCCTTTTGGTGTGGCTGAACCTTTGCAAGCAGAAGTGTGCAGCTCAACCATGCAGTCTTTATCCTATTAACCATGAACTAACTGTCACCTTCAGCTGTTTTCCCTTTTTATTTTTTAACACAAAGCTTTCTCAAAAATCTTATTAACCAGCTTTATTTCTCTCGATGGTTTTTGTCCAGACGTTTTGTGTTGATTATCTCCATGTCGATGCTTTAACCATTCAATAAAAGTGCATCTGCGATTTATATCACATTAGGGAAGAAAGAAAGTCTGTTAAATCTCTCCCTTGGTTCAAATTAAAAAGGTATTTATTAGGGGGGTCGGAATCAGCCCTAGAAATTGTATGATCCTGACAAGCTTTCCCCGTGCTTTACGCTGGCCGCCAGCAGTTGAGCATCTGCAGAATGTCCGCAGACCTTTTATCACTTGGAAATCAAATCTCGCTGGAGTCCGGCGTTCTCTCAAGCCTGTTGTTACAAACGACTGCTCTGAAGGTGTTAATATAGCAAGGGAGTGGGAAGGTAGGGAATGGGAAAAGCAAACAAGGCTTTCCCAAGAAAATAATTAACAGGCACCCCCCCATCTCGCTCCCTCCCATCCCGGCATTTCCCGACGCTGCAGCTCCGGGAATACTCCGGGTTTTTTTACAGTCGTTATACGTTTCCTTTGAGATGATGTACTCCTTTCTCTACATATACATCGGGGGCATTTTGCCTCACTATAGACCAACTGCTGCTAATTTCTCTGGTTTTAAGAAAGAGGGTCTGACACTTTCTGGAAGGTTGGGTCAAACGCATGCTGGGGCACACGTGGACCCCGTTCCTTTCGATGCGTTTGAGCACACTCATAAAGAATTCCTTAAGCACCAAGGCAAAAGTGACTAGACATCTATTGAAAGGGAAGATAGACCATAAGAAACCAAGAAATCAGACGAAAGGATCTTATTTTAAGTGATCTCCTTTGGAAGTTTCTTTTCAAAGGCAGTGATCGTTTAAGAGAGGGAATTCTAATGTCTCAGGATAAAACCTGTGACTAATGCCGTTTGACCTATGCTCATGCCGTTTTGTGCTTCCTGCCATTCATTTTAATGTCGTTATCATCTTCAAATTTATTTCTTAAAAGTCACTTTGTTGCTTAAAAAAGGCGGGGGGTGGGGGGATGACGAAGACAGAGAGGGGGAGGAACGACGGGACACCCAAACCGGCCGGGAGAGGGGTAGGGGAGGAAATAGGGCTCGGAGCCTGCGTGTGTCCCTCTCCGAGGCCGGTAATCCGCATGAAATTGGGAGAGGCAGCACTTCAAATCCGGAGGGCCGGAGGGCCGGGGCTGGACCAGCCTCCTCCCGGAGGAGCGGAGCCGATCTCGGCCCCGGCACACGGACGTCTCAATCACGGCCCTACTTCCCCTTCCCCAGCCATCCCGCAGCCACGGTGAACCCAAATTTCCATCCCCTCTCCTCTTTCCCAGCCATCTCGAAGCCAGGGGGACCCTGCTTTTATTTACCACCCATCTGCAGCCGCGGTGAACCCAAATTCCACACACACACACACACACACACACTTTTTTGCCATCATTCCCGCAGCCAGGGTCAACCTGAATTCCTCCCGCCCTTTCCCAGCCATCCCGCACCTATGATGAACCCAAATTCCCACCCCCTTCCCCTTTCTCACACATCCTGCAGACAGGGGGACCCCAGCTTCCCATCCCCTCTCCTTTTTCCCAGCCGTCCCGCAGCCAGGAGGACCCTGTCTTTTTACCACCCATCCGCAGTCACGGTGAAACTAAATTCACACCCCACCCCCCCTTTCTTTTACCCGTAGCCAGGGGGACCCCAGATTCCCACCTCTATCCCCCTCTTTTTACCAGCCATCCTGCAGTCGGGAGGGCCCCAAACTCTTCCTTTACCCCTCCTTCCCCCTTCACCCTTCCCCCCCACCCCCACACCCCCCCCCCCCCCCCAGCCATCCTGCAGCTTCTCGTTCTCCAAAGCCGCGGAGGAAAAACGTGTGTGCGCTTTTTGTTTAGTTTTTTCTATGTTTGGGGGTTTCTTCCCTTCTCTTTTCTCCCAGGGAGGGTTGCGCTATCCCCGAGCTCACTAACGATGCTCATGGAGCTCGCCAAGAGCTTGAATGGAAGCCGCGGAGAGAAGGGATATTAAGACACCTAAGGCTTCACCTTTAGAATTCAGGCAGAAGGAACAGTAACTGTTGGTTCGTTCAAAGCTCTTCTAGATCCCCCCTCCTTTTCTTGAAAATCCTTCTATTGTGCCAATCAAGCAGATGGTTTGCAGGAAATATAGCTTGGCCTCAGTGACCGAAACTAATTTTAACTAGCTTTCCAAGCCTGGCGCGTTTGTTTTGCTCTTACAAAATAGCTAAAAAAACAGCTGGCAAGGGTGAATTAAACCCATTAAAGACACATTTATAAGAAATTATTTTCACATAGGTTGCTTGAACCCCCCCTAAGAGGGGAGAGATGAGCGTATTGAAATGAAAATGTCCTCGAACACACTACCCTCCTTAACATTGCCTGAAAGTCTCAAAACATTTTACTAAATAGATTAACTTGACTATTGTTTCGCATCACATTTATCAGCTTCATTAAGTGAATAGCTGAACAAATATATTACGCATGCATGAAAAGCTCTTTTAGGGGCTGCCTTATTGTGTCCTCAGCCCTGACAGGTGGTTAACTGTGTTTTTCTCTCCTCTCCCCCTCTCTCTCTGAGAGCAAAGAAAGAGAGATCTTGGACAGAGCACACAGCCCAGACTTGGCAAAGGGACCTAGAGGGGAGAGTTACTTTCTTTTCCCCTGGCCATTCAGGATGGCCAGCCTAGAGTGCATGCTGCCTGAAATTAAACCAGATGATCTGTATCGTGTCAAAAGTAATTAACTTTAGTCTCTGTGTCTTGCTTTGCTTTACTAACTCCTTTCAAGCCTGGTTAATTTGTGTTCTTTCTTCCATATTTGGTTATTTTTGTCCACTTTTGTCTTTTTATCCTTTCCTCAACCTCCGTCTTCGTTTTTAAAACAAATGACCTGGTGTTGTTCTTCTTTCTCCTTCCACTGTCTAATAAACAACCCACAACCTTCCTAGAACCAACTTCTTCCATAAGCTAATATTTGGAGAGCTAGGATTTGCAAAATGCATTATGGTGTTTTATTTATTGCCTTTAATTTAATGATTATTTAGCACAGTGGAAAATAGTTGGGAATTGGGCAGCGGCTGTTCAGATTCTTGGGTGTTGGAGGCCAAGGTCCTATTTATTTCAGTTGTGGTCTCTGCCCAAGGATTTCCAAGTTAAACTGTGCAAATGAGGTGTGGAGGATGAGAGAACATGATACTTCCCAATTTATCGTCTCAAACATGTATTTTTCTCCTCTTAACTAGGAAAGAAGAATTAAAAATCTTTTTGGCTTTCAAGTCAGGTCTTAAATTTACTCATACCAGCTCACCACAAACCAAGCATTTAGTGACATGGTTTAGTGGTGGATTGGCCGTCCTGGGGTAAATGTTGGACTTAATGGTCTTAAAAAGATCTTTTCCAACATAACTGATTCCATGATTCAAAGTGGTGATCCTTTGCTTATGATAGCAGCAAGTTTCTCTGCTCTCTGATTCACTGGAATCTCTAGGCAGTGGGCAAATTTAGGTGCTGGCATTTGAGGGTCCCGGTACTTTTCCATTCATAAAGTCCCACTTCTGTTCCCCATTCTTCAGCCTACGATGGGTAGGACAACTTTCCTTGGAGGAAAGGGCTCTGTTAGGGCAATTCAGTGGGAGCTTGAATGTGTCCGGAGGCAGGTTTTGGCAAGCCTGGCAGTTTTTCTGTCTTTGTCTCTCAGAGCAAGAACAGAATTAGTATTTAACCACCCTGTAGGATTAAACCATGACCTCTCCTTATTTCTACACTTTTTTTAAAAGGGCCAGACCATTAGGCCTTAATCCGTTGGCTTCTACCATTCCAACCAACTGACACTAGACTTCCTTGGGGTTTAAGCCTCTCTGCAAATGTTTGAGAGAGGCTTGGAAGGGAGATGTTGATGGAGGCTTGTGTTGCTACTTCTAAGTGAAAATACCTTCAGATGCTGTGATCCAGCTGAGGAAG